GCCGCGTTCACCACAGTCCCTCCGCCTCTGCAGGAAAACAGCACTTCATGTGAAGAGGAGGGTGAAGCTGGAAAAAGAGAACGCTTTAAAAGTCTCATCCAAACCTCAGCTTTAAGGTCGGTTGTGTGTGTGTGTGTATGTGTGTGTGTGTGTGTGTGTGTGTGTGTGTGTGTGTGTGTGTGTGGGACCCAAACATCTGTCTTGGATTTTTGTCAACCTGTTCTGACGTCAGCTGTGTTGACTTTTCCATGATGGATTTCCCCGCTGACACTCCATGAAATGTTAAAAATAGTCAAACGAAAACAGAGCTCACTTTGAATCTTTAAGGTTCAGATAAAGAGAAGAGGAAGAGAGGAGGTTAATGAGTTTAAGTTCTGAGGAATCATTTTTCATCCACAGTCCAAGTTTGAAACTTGTAAAAAAAAAAAAGGGAACAACAACATTAATTGTTTTTAAGTTAATTACTGCTCAGTTGTAATCAGCTGCATGTTCGGTCCGTCTCGGCTCCGTCAGGCCGGAGTCCTCTGCAGTCAAGATACACATGACTTCTGTTTCTGCAGGATGTTGGCGCACGGAGCATCAATGTACCACAGAGCAGATCGAGTGGGACAGGAAGTCAGACACAGAAGCAACATTAAAACATCCGGTTTATTTTCAGAATAAAACACTCAGTTTTGATGCTCGATCTTATATCACTGGACTACATCAACCAAACATCATAACTGACCTGGTAGAAACCCAACAATCTCAAAGAAGAGACAAATCCACTCTTCTTTAACTCCTTCGGTTGGGAACAGTGACATTATGTGTGTTTGTTCTTGTGTTTATAAAGGTTTTATACCACATACATCGTATTATCTCGGGCTGTAGGGCATGTTTCTGTAATTACCGCGGGAACTCCCTGGTCTCGTGACCCCAGCTGGATGAGGGAGCACACACATCTGGTGGACGTTTGGGGTTGGACACTACAGATCCACTCAGGAAACCCAGGTGTTCATGCATTCCATCATTTTCTCTCATCTTTCATTTGGAGACTGATTTTGGAGCACACGTCACAATTACGTCACAGAAAAACCAGCAAAAGAAACAGAGAGAAGCAGACCAGATCTTTTGGTGTAAGGGAAAACATTTCTTGTTGTGCAGTTCGATGTCAGCATAGAGACGAAAAAACACGACGGTTTCTATAGAATACTGTCATCAAGGACGCTCTTAGAAGCAGAATGCAGACGTACAGCTGCGTTTCATGTCCCTGTGATTGTCTGGGCAGTAGGGTTTGAGTTCAGAGTCAGTTGCCATGGCGATCTAGTCAGGTTTAAAGAGAAGCAGCTTCATTAAACTTCTGACTTTAAACTCAACAGACCAGGATCCCCCTCTGATCTGGCTTCAGGTAAAAAAAAAAATGAAGAAATGTTCCAAAGCAGATCAGAAAGGTTGTAAGTCAGACCTTGATTAATGTGTGCAGGTCTTTAAATGATGTGTTTGGTTGCATGTTTTTGCAGAGTACAGTCACCCTGCAGATGGCCCTTGTGTGTTTCTGTGGAGCTGTGATTTCACACACAGAGCGGCTGAGATGAGTTCAGAGTCACAGAAGTCTGGATCCTGATGAGTCACTGTCCTGCTGAGTGTCATCACAGACACAATATCCAACCTGCAACCCTAATCACAGTCTTTACACCCTTTATTGTCCTCTCTTCTTCTTCTACTGTGTCACATCTCCTCTTAGTTCCTTTATTTTGATCAGACTGATGCCTAGAACTGGTGTAGAGCTTTTCAGGCGGCCCTCAGAGAGTCTGTAGAAATGTCTCATTAAGAAAATAAAGTTGTGAAGTCTGAGCTCTCTTGCTGATTTGATTCTGCAGCGATCAGGCCCTCTCAGTGTCGTACAGTCAGTGCGGCTGTAGGAGGTGGATGTAAGGCCGGCCTCAGTCATCAATAATCCAGAGTAATGTCTCTCTTTGGTCCACCATCGATCGCCCATGATGCTATTTCTGTGTCTTTGCTGGAGTCTTATTTTAGCCGAGCAGACTAATGATTCCGAGAAGAGCAGAAAGAGCAAAGACCCTTTCATGTGAGTGTGTGTGTGTGTGTGTGTGTGTGTGTGTGTGTGTGTGTGTGTGTGTGTGTGTGTGTCTTTGTTTGAAAAATAGAGAACTGAGAGGATGAAAGAAAGACGCTGCCTCGGTTGTTGAAGCTCATGAATGTAAAATAATCTGCTGGTTTGAGAACAGCTGATGGACTGTGTGCAGTGCTGCACTGCAGTAATATTTACATTTACAGTGTGTGAGTGTGTGTGTGTGTGTGTGTCTGTGTCTGTGTGTGTGATTGTTGAAACACACACTTTTACTGAGCAGGGGCTGATACCCAGAGAATCCAGAGAAAACATCTGATACTGCTCGTAGAGATAAACATGTCCTCTCTGTCTTTAGATTTCTAAGATGGCTGAAAATCATGTCATTATTTTTTTCCTATTGAGAATTGTTCATACTGAACATGAATCCTACGGTGACCCTGAAAGTAAAACACAACATTTCAAAATACGCAACAACATAACGGAAAGGTGGTACTGCAGTCCTGTACTGCAGGTGGTACTGCCATGTGGTGGACACTGAAGCTTCAGTGTTTATCCAGCTCTGCATCGGTCTGTAAACCTTTCTGTGTTCTAACCTCTCTCCATTTTTCAAAAGCATCTCCAATATTGATCCTAGTTTGAGCACGTTTCTGCTCGTGGAGCTTATTAGAAACATGCAGAGGCTTTTTAGGTCGAGTACAATCACTTCTATCTGAACCACTTCTCTTGCCCGCTTCCATCGCTGCAACACCTGTTGACCTGATAACTGCTCTCATATCTGACAAACCGAGGGGCGTCCAAAACGGCCGTGTGGGGGTGCCTTAAAACCGCCTACCTTCTTTGGTCCAAACAAATCCAGAGCATTCAGGACCAGAATCTAAAGTTAGAAGGAGGACATACTGACTGCTGCATTGTTGTTTAAACAGTTTTTTTACTTAAAGTTTCAAACAGACGTTCTTGTTTCCCAGAGTTTGTTGAGATGATTTGATCTCAACATCCACCTGGGGAATAAACACGTCAGACATTTTTGGTGTCTGCATCGTGGATCTTAAAGACCTTTGACCTTTTCTCCAGCACCAACATGAACCCTCAGTTACACTTTCTAAATCTCAACATATTACAGTGTCTATGTTAGCATGCTGACGTTAGCTCAAAGCACAGCTGTTCCTGCGTACTGAGAGACTATGACCTCATCTTTTTTTAAAGCTGCTCTGCTTCAGATTCTCCTCTCTGTTTTCTCATATCTGCTCAGAGGCGAGACTGTTAGAACTGTTCATGCTTTTACAGGCAGACATCTGACAGCTGATCCGTTCTCATTCTGTCTCTGCAGCTTCCTCAGAGTGAGATATCCAATCAGAACGAGCTTTAGGTCGGCTCAGTCTTATTGTCTCTTCTGCTCTGCTCTCTGCTGAACACCTGAAATCTAAAGTAAAAAACAGACTCAGAAGCTCTAAACGGACTGATGTTTCAAGACGTGATATTTACGTCATGGAGGCATAATGGGGGGACAAAGTGACCCCCCTCTGTACTGTCAGCGTTACAGAGGAGAGACAGGATCAGCTGAGTCAGCGGGGGAGAACAGCGCTGTGTGCGTGTGCATGTCTGACTGTGTGTGTATGTGGAGCTCTCCCGCTGTGCCGTGCTTTTAAAACTCCTCAACACAATGTGACCTCACAGACTGGAACACCAATATAACGCCATCACTGAAACAATAATAATGTACAAAGACGTGATGGCGGCTGAGCTTAGTGACGGCACTTTAGCTAATAAAGCAGCCTGAAAATGGCTTTTTGTCAGCACAGATGATCTGCAGCTTTTAGTCACTTATATGTTTTTTTTATAATAAGACCTTTTATTAACCCTTTGATAACGATCCTCCTGACAGCAGAGGAATTATATTTAACATTATTCTGACTAAATTAATCTAAAAATGAGCATCTTGAAAAGCTGGAGACTTCATTCTGTGTGCAGCTGAAACCTAAGTCTGTCTTTAACACCATTCATCATTACATTTGATGTCCCGTGGTTGCATCATTATTTTTCAGTGAAAAACATGATGAAAATGTGCCGGGGGAAGGAGAGGACTGTTTTCTTGAAACTGTTAATTTGAAGTTTTATGACACATAATGCAAAATGTGCAGAGTTCAAATAATCTCTCAAATCTTTACATTTTTTTTGTTTGTGAGGATTAGAGACCCTGAAGTAAACATTTTTCTAGTTTTGACTTTTTTCTCAGACAGAATTCTGAGACAAAGTGTTGCCTCGCCGACTTGTCTCCAACTCATTACTGGAACGTGGTCAACTCAGGTGTGACGTCATTCCCAGCTCGGACATCCCACTTTAGAGGTAAAGGGAACGCACCTTAAGCCGCCTCTCTGGACCCGCCTCCCTTTTGGGTACAGAAACAAAGCTGTGGAAGCAAAAGGCCTCTGATAGTTTAGTTTTTGTCGATGAAAGAATAATAACTCAGTAATGACCGTGATCGGATCGATACCCTCTCTGTTTACGTCCCTGCTGCCCTCAACGTTTAAACCCTCCATCCTCTGATCAGACGCACTATTTTTAGGCTGCGCTCTCTGAGGAGACAATCTGGGCTGAGAATCAGAAGTAGAGCTGTCCTGCTCAATGTTGTTCTTTTTTTACTCTAACAGCCTCTCAGCAGAGGCTCTTTATCTCGGCTCTGTGTGTGTGTGTGTGTGTGTGTGTGTGTGTGTGTGTGTGTGTGTGCGTGTGCGTGCGTGCGTGTGTGTGTGTGTGTGTGTGTGTGTGTGTGTGTGATGCTGCCGCAGGTCCCGGTGCAGCGCGTGTCCTCACATGAACGCAGCTTAAAAAGCTTCGTTAGAAAAAGCTGCAGTGACGACCACGATCAGTGACCACGATGACTCATCCGCCTTACGGTTCAGTCCTAATGTCGGCGTCTCTTCTCTTGCAGTGGCTCATGCGCAGGACACACACCACCACTCCTCAGAGAAGCCCCTGATCCAGTGCTACAAGTGTGGGGAGCCATGTAAGGGCGAGGTGCTGCGCGTGCAGAACAAGCACTTTCACCTCAAGTGCTTCACCTGTAAAGGTAAGCTTACTCTCACCTGACCGAGGGTCCACTTGTAGGAGAGTCAGTTAAGAGGCTGCAAACACAAAACCAAAGTGAGGAACCTGTTGATATGTTGAGTTTTTAATATTTGTTCCTTTAATAGAATTGAAACTTTATTATCATTAAAGTGCCACAGGACATTTTACCTGATGAGCTTCTCGCGACCAGCCTCTAGTGGACACTCGATGAACTACAACCGAATGTATTCTGTAGGAGCTGATGAATATTGTTCAGCAGTTGATGATACCGGCTTGTAGCGCCTTTTGATGAATTTTGGAAACAGCAGTGATACTGTAAATGTTTTAATTGCAGGAAATATGATGCTACCCAGCGGACCAATCCCAGGACTTCGGCATTATTTTGATGCATAGTTTCATTTATTAAGGAGGTGCAGCTCAGGCTATGTGCATCGGCTTCTGCGAAGGCACAGGGAAATGCAAACCTACAACATATTTGACAGCGTGGATTTAATGAAGTGTAAATCAGTAAGGACTGAGACCCAACAGAAAGTCAAACAATTGGAATATATTTTCAAATTTTGTGTTTTTCTGGTCATTCATAGAGTTTATACTTTAATAGACAAATCTCTAAAGAGAGTGACTCTACCCTGCTGTATGTTGGTAAACCTTTTAGAAAAGACCCCGATGATGAAAATGTATAAAAGGTTTGTGATTTTGAGGTACAGTTTGGCGGGGGTGGGTCAGCAGTTTTCATAAACGTTGCCCAAAAACAGGCATGAGCTGCCTGTAACAATTCTACAATTCACTTAGCAGACATTTACAAAGTGACGTACATCAGAGAGTAAGTACAACACAAGCAAGGATCTAGAAAAAAGGGAACAATGTCAGTAAGTGCAAACGATCAGCTTTGAGTCCGATTGGACACACAGGTGCTGACAGGCATTGCACAGAGGCAAAGCACAGCAGTTCTTGAGAGCTCTAATCAGTATAGAAACCATCTTAAAAGTCGCCGTTATCAACAAAACCATCGTCATTACCATCATCATCATAAATAATATTGAGACCTTTAACCCCACAAACAAGTCAGAGTCACATTCTGAACAGAGCTTGACTCTAATATACTAAATGTAAGAGGCTGTAATTTGTGTGTCACCTCGTTTCATTTACATGAAATGTGTACAGCACGCTCGCCACTGTGCAGTTTCCTGAAGACGTGAGACTTCAAAGCGTGTTGACTTTTCATCATCCTGTAACGACATCACGTCTTGTGTGGTGCAGCAGCATCACACCATTGTGCATGAGAGCCCGTTCGATGCTGCACTACTCCTTAATATCTGAATGAGTTTCTTGTTATTAGATATCAGGTGTACGGTAGGTGTCACAGTGTTTACTACTTGTGATTTGGCTCGGTCCTTCTCCATGTGAGACAAAGATTGTTCTTAAAAAAGACCCGTCTTCAAAATCAGTTGTTTACGATTTAGAAATGAATCCTCCGACAGCTTGGACAAGTGTTTCGTCTGAATAAGTGGAGAGAAACGTGGGCGTTGAGTGTGAAAACTGGCTGCTGAGGTGTGAGGTTTTAACATTCAGAGCTAATTTTGATGCTGTCATAATAATAGGACGTTTGCTTCCTTTCATGCAGAACATGAAGCCAGAGCCGACTGCAGCTGTGTGTTTATTAAATATCTTCCTCTCCTGTGAAGTAGTGCGATAAAGTGCAGGAATATTAGAGTCCAATATCTGACGGCAAAATATAAATGTGCAGCCAAACAACTTATTAATCCACACGTGTCTGAAGATCGTCCCAGTGAGTAAGATATGAGCAGAACAAGTCCCGATAAGGTCGTCAAAATGTTCAATCCTTCTACATTTTTTGATACCACGTGTTATTTTAATGATTTATCATGTCCTAAAGAATTGTTAGTGAATCAATCAAAACATTTTGGTATCAAATCGTTACAAACGTATTTGGACAGTTCAGACAGTGCAGGAGTTTGCCTGCAATTCTTGGTCTTAAAGTTGACATATTCTCCTCATCTTCAACCAGTTTGAATAAGTCTCAGAGCTCCTCAAAACATGTGTGTGAAGTGTCTTGTTCTAAATCCACTCCGATCCTGTATTTGATCATGTCTATAAAGCCCTCTATTTCAGCCCTGCTCAGAACAGGCTGTTTCTGTGTCTGTACCTTTAAATGTAAATGAGCTGTGTCTGACCACGCCCCCTCTCTGGAAGGGCTTGGGTGTCTCAGGCTTTCTCGCTCCATGTCCTATTGTTTACAGTGAGAAGGCAGACTCAGAGGGCAGAACAAACACCTAGCTGTGGGAGTTTCACCCACCTAGGGGAGGGGTTACTGCCCTTTGTGATGTCATGAAGGGAAAATCTCCAAACAGCCTGTTTGAGCACACATTTTCTGAAAAGTGGAGCGGGCAAAAGACGGAGAGGATGCACTTTTCTCATCATTGGGGGGTTTGTAGACAGACTAGAGACACATGTTAGAGTTAGAGGAACATGGGGAAGTGGCTTTTAAATAATATGTGACCGTGAAAATCAATCAAGAAATTAACAAATATTTGGTGCCTTGGACTTCTTTTGTTGTTGCAGTGGTTTCAGTATCGTTTGATTTGAACTCGAATAGCACCAACGTTTTAGAGTCTTGTATCAGATGTAACGGTTCGGGTCAGTGCCTCTTGGTTAACAGTGTTTTGGAGACAGTAAGTTAGCCAAAGTGCACAACCACACGTGTGTGGGGTTTCCACAACACTCGTCGTTTATTAAAAACTAAACATCAACCTTATAAAGCCCGGACGTACGGCTACTATTTTATCAGACATAAGGGACCCACACAAACCCTCACATCCCTGATAAACTTAGAGCCATAAAGAAAGTAGGAGCTTACAGGCAGAAGCGCCGCTAAAACTATCTTCAAGGCTAAAAACAAGGTCTAGTGACATCACTCCCCAAGTAACTTAGCAACACAGTATGTCTTAAAGGTAGAGTCCACAACAAGATAGAAATATGATGTCACGACTCCTCTTCACCTTTCAGGCTTGCACGTTAATTAAAGAACCATCCAGACTGTTATGAAAAGTTGCAGCACTTACAATCCCTCTGCTCTTACTACATCACTGATGCATTTCCTGCTAAATCGTGATGCAGCCGCCCAATCAGTCCCCTCGTGTTTTTGGACCAGCTGAAGGCCTTGTGGTTAATCTGTGACTGGAGTACTGTTATAAGGTTAGCTTAGTTCACCAAAGGCCCAGAATAACACACACAAACACTGAGATTAACACCTAATTCTGTCCTTTACAAGTGGATATAAATGCCTTCTGTGTGTGCAAACGAGATAGCCGTCGCCAAAGCAGACACGCAGACAGATTAAACGGCCCGAAGAGTTCCAGGACTCACTAATTTTAAATGTGCTGTTGTCAGTCTCCAACCAGGAGGAGGACTAGAATTAATCATCTGTTGTTTTCACGCCAGGTTCACGGCGCTTATCAGCACTGAAAGGTTAAAGTGTCACTTGGCAAGTGAATCCAAAACAACAGCTCTGGGGTGTGAAATAAAAAAAGTCAAATATGCATTCACTCTGATTTCATACTCGTGTGTTTGCTCAATAACTTTCCAGAAATGCGGTTTCTTTAAATGCACGCGTCTTAAAAAAAAAAAAGTGACGGCCGTCATTGGACCTCACAGGCTACTCTTCTCTCGCTCCGTTAGTTTACAAGCTAATCTCATCACCCCTGAGCCTTAATGCAATTAAACCTGAGTCCGTCCCGCTCTCACTCCCATTCATCCTCAGGATTTAGCCTGGCTCATTGCGTAAGAATGATTAGGTGCAGCCTCCTCACACATTATATTGGATGTCATATTGTCTGTCTGAGCTGTGGCTTTTCCTAAAGGCTGTTATATTCCCAGGCGCCGACGTGGCTCATGTGATCTTTACTGCTTAAAGGGATAGTTCCTCTTGTATCCACAGTGGACGGCCTGTCATATAATTATTTCTCTATTTGTTGTCTCTTTCGAGGCCTGCAGACCCAAACAGCCGATCAGTTTGCTGCAGGTGGAGGAACATTTAGCCTAGCTTCACTCCCGCCGGCCTCTCCTTAAACGGGCCGAGCTGACCGACATCTCCTGTGGCTAATACTCTCTCTACTATTGACACTCTGCAGTGTATGACACATTGTCAAAGCTCTTGTGTTTCATACAGGACAAGCCTCAAAGTGAAGAGCCACAGATCCTTAACCAGCCTGCAATATGTCAAAGTGAAATATCTCTTTGCTATATTTCTTTAAAGGACCAATCAGTGAGATGTGTAGTGACTGAAATGATAAAGGTACCTTACTATATGATCAGACATTAAGGAAACATGCTATGTTGAAGTGCTGGCTTCTCTGACAACAATGCAGCAGCCAGTATGTCCTCCTTCTAACTTTAGATTCTGGTCCTGAATGCTCTGGATTTGTTTGGACCAGAGAAGGTAGGCGCTTTTAAGGCACCCCCCACACGGCCGTTTTGGACGCCCCTCGGTTTGCCAGATATGAGAGCAGTTATCAGGTCAAACCAACAGGTGTTGCAGTGATGGAAGCGGGCAAGAGAAGTGGTTCAGATAGAAGTGATTGTACCCGACCTAAAAAGCCTCTGCATGTTTCTAATAAGCTCCACGAGCAGAAACATGCTCAAACTAGGATCAATATTGGAGATGCTTTTGAAAAATGGAGAGAGGTTAGAACACAGAAAGGTTTACAGACCGATGCAGAGCTGGATAAACACTGAAGCTTCAGTGTCCACCACATGGGAACCTGCATGAGCATCGACTCTAGAGAGGAGGGGGGGAGACAGCTCTCTACAATGTTTAGAATTTAGACTGCAGTACCCATTTTAAACACTAGGGGTCAGAGCGACATACTGCTCCTTTAAATATAATCATGAGTTGATGTGATCAGAAGATAAGCTCACAGCAACATTAAAATATCCCAATCTCTCCTTTGTTCTGTTGCTACAATTCTTTCTGTTCTGGTCTTCTATGTGTGTGTTGTTGACGAGGTCATACATGAATGGAAGGAAGCCTAATGGAGACTGACAGAGTGTGTTCGGTATTTGGAGCCAGTTATCTTCAGAAACAGATCAAGGCCACTTCCTGAGCTGCACAATTAAAACACTGATCGGTCTACCTTCAAGCTGACAAAAAAGACCTTGCAAAGTGATGCAGATTAATTGACATGATCCCAAACAGAGAGGGTTCAGGGTTTGCTTTTATACCGTGAATGCTGCTGATGAAAGGATCTCACTATGTCTTTCACATTGTAAAGCACAGAGATGTGAAGTTGTATTTCTTGCTGATTCATCCACAGCAGCCGTCCACGCATTCAGCGAACGTCTCAGGATTAACCATTGATGCGTGGAGGAGCTGGGTTGCTTAAAGGTGGATGCTTTATGTGTTAAACAGCAGAGCGCTGAATGACCTGACTCATCAGTGTGTGTGTGTGTGTGTGTGTGTGTGTCTTACAGTGTGCGGCTGTGACCTCGCTCAGGGGGGCTTCTTCATGAAGAATGGAGATTATCTGTGCACGCTGGACTACCAACGCATGCACGGCACCCGCTGCAATGGCTGCGGGGACTTGTGGAGGGCGAGGTGGTCACTGCGTTAGGCAAGACGTACCACCCCGCCTGCTTCGTCTGTACCATCTGCAAGTAAGACACACACACACACACACACACCACACACACACACACACACACACACACACACACACACACACACACACACACACACACACACCACACACACACACACACACACACACACACACACACCACACACACACACACACACCACACACACACACACACACACACACACACACACACACACACACACACACCACACACACACACACACACACACCAACACACACACCACACACACACCACACACACACACACACACACACACACTCATTATACGATACACTCATACATGTTGATAAAACACAGCTCGAGTGATTTAAAGAGATACATGCTGGACTAAAACCAAGAAAACAGTAAAGGAGGCCTGAAAAGTGAACTGGGTCAATAATAATGAAATGTAAAGAGGACACAGACCGAGCTCCGTCCCCCTGATTGAATCTGTGCCAAAACAAATTTCTGGTTTCCATCAAATCTGTAAAATTAGACCAAGATCTCCGACACTGCAGAGTCAACTCCTGAAACTTTGTTCTTCTCTCGTCACACTTAGTGTTGATGCTCAATCTGTGGAACATTTAACAGGTGTAACATCCTGCAAGAAGTGATAAATAAGTGCTTTATTGATGCTTAGGAGGAAACTTAATGTTTCCCACAAGAACAATAAAAATACATCATAAAGTTATGTACTGTACCTCACCCTATCACATTACATCATATCCTATCTTATACATCATGTCTTATTGTTTCATATCATATCATTCTGCTGATAGACAAAGTCACAGCTGCAGTAATTCCTGGAGACAGCGTACAGTACGCTGCCGTCTGTCACGTTTGAATCATCAGACTGAACGTCGTCCTCAGGCTCACAGTGTTGACACACATCCACATCATCAGGCCCAGCTCATAAACACTTACCCAGCAGCCACTGCTCCTGTCCTGTTGACTGATTGTTGTTGTCGCTTTTGCTTCCAGACGACCGTTCCCCGCTGGGGACAGGGTGACCTTTAACGGGAAGGACTGTCTGTGTCAGTACTGTGTGGAGCCCATGTCTCCGGGACCAAAGGACATCCTGGGCTCCAGCAGTGAGTATCATCTATAACACACACCCTCACATGTTAAAGGCACAGGAAGACCATCCCTTTCTCATGATGTCAGGGGGCGCCGGGGGAGGGAGAAAGGTTAGGGTGATTCTCAGGGATCATGACCTTTGTTACTTTAATCTGAGCCGGGACAACTGCTCCCCCCCTTACAGTAGTTGTTGCTAAGCTAAGCTAATTAGCTTGCTGTAGCAGTATCATTCTTCTCTTCCAGCTCCTCCTGACAAACAACTTGATGTGTAAAATATGAAAATGGTATCAGTACAGTGAAGCAGAATAGACTTTATGAGTAGTTTTCCTGCAGCTTTGTTCTGCTTGAAATCACTGAGTGAAGCCGAGGTATCATTCAGGGAGTTCCTCCGCCTCGATCTTCTCTAAACGCAGCAGAGATCGACCGGCTGTCTTCCGTTATGAATAACGCCGAGAAGACTTGCTCTGAATAATGCATGGCCATACATTTCTTTCCTGTGGAGCTGGGTGTGTGCAGCCCGCAAACCTCTCCTTCACCAACTCCTCTCATCCTCCCTCCTTCTCTCCCCTCTCCTCCTCTTCCTGCCCCCCCCCCCTTCCCCCCCACATGGTCTCTCTGTTGGCATTTGAAGAGCTTTTAGACAAGGTCACCCATAAATAAGGCATGCTGATACTCCTCACGTCATCCTGGCTGCCTCGATATGCCTTACGTAGTTATCGTCCCCCGTGGTTGCGGAGGGCTCTGTGTTACTTTCATCCTCCATTCATTAAAGAAGAGATGACAAGATGATTGTTCTTTTAGAAATCGACCTCTCACACTTTAAGAGCCTCGGGACGCCACTTTGATGTGGAAGGAGCTTTTAAAGCTGCGGTAAGAGAGGCGTGGATGATGGAAAGAGGCAGCTATCAGAGCATAGTTACCCTCTATCACCCCCTAGTGTCTGGGACCGGAACTGACAGGATGTCTATATAATGTAGACCTTCATGACGCTGTGATCCAGTTCAGGCTGAGTTTTTACATGCTAACCCTAAAAGCAGCTTTATCTCAGTCTGCAGGTGTTCTCTTTGTGGTTTTAACGCATGCCTCTTTGCTCTGTGCAGATTGTGCAGGATGTGGTCGAGACATTAAGAACGGGCAGGCTCTGTTAGCGTTGGACCGACAGTGGCACCTCGGCTGCTTTAAGTGTAAGGCCTGCAGCAAAGTGCTGACCGGGGAGTACATCAGCAAGTAAGGAGCTCATAGTTACCATAACGACCACAATATGATGCTTCACTGTGAAAGCTCTGGTGTTCAACCATCTCCTCCCCGCTCAGGGACGGCGCCCCCTACTGTGAGAAGGACTACCAGATCCACTTTGGAGTTCAGTGTGAGGCGTGCCATCAGTTCATCACAGGGAAGGTGCTGGAGGTGAGACACACACACACACACACACACACACACACACACACACACACAGACACAGACACAGACACACACACACACACACACACACACAGACACACACACACAGACACACACACACACACACACACACAGACACACACACACACACACACAGACACAGACACACACAGACACACACACACACACACACACAGACACAGACACACACACACACACACACACACAGACACAGACACACACAGACACACACACACACACACACACACACACACACACACACACACACAGACACACACACACACACACACAGACACAGACACACACAGACACACACACACACACACACAGACACACACAGACACACACAGACACACACACACACACGCACACAGACACACACACACACACACACACACACACACACACACACACATCACTCTGATTGGCCTCTTATTTTTGATGCACTAAATTTACTGACAACTTTTTTTGATCCCATGGCAACAGAAATCGAATGTTTGTGAGTTTCTTGTTTTTATTTATTTGCACGCCGTCTGAAGCGGGGAACACACTTGAAGTGCGTTGGAGGGAATCGTGAAATGTAGTTCGATAATCTCTCGTGTAATCTCAGAATCCTGGAGCCAAACAGACTCCTGACATGACAGCAGATAATGAAAAGATTAATTCTCAGCTGATTTTTAAGGTCCGCCCATCTCAGGAAATAAACACCAACATGACATCAAAGAGCTTATTTGATTGGATGTTGAGAAGCGGTCATTATTTATTTGAACGTGTTTGTAATTTGATCTGAGCTGAGTTCCTGTCAAACATTACCCCCGCCCTCTCCTGTCCTCGCGCTCACGCTCGCCTGTCTGTTCGGCAGACGTTGATCCAATCAGACGCAGAGTTATGTGTCATTTAGTGGTATGAAAATGTCACAGCGAGCCCCCCAGGCTTACAGTAATCCAGCACTAAGGCAGATCTTTGTGACAATGGGGAATGGCTTCAGCGTTTCACCCTGAGCCGCTGCCAACAGATCAGACCGTCTGATCAGCCACCCAAGAATGCCGACTGGAAAAATAACGGACCAAACCACCATGACGTCACCATCCGGTTTGTCGACTGTGTGTGTGAAGATTGGCAGTTTTGTGTTTTGGTTTTCTAGAGCCATGAATGACCATATTTGGACGAGAGGGCGGAGCTGTAGAGAAAAAAATAACCTGCAAACGCTAAGTTATCCTTAAAGCTTTTTAACCATCATGTTCATCCAACAGCACAAACATGGCCCAGAGTTCAAAGGTCAGGGACTGAATTATCTGAGGGGACACCTAGCATACACAGAGGCGCTGTCACCAGGCAAGGCAGGCAACTGCTTAGGGCCCCCAAAGGAGCAGCGGCACAATAGGTGCAAAGCTTGCATTGACGGTAGGAAACCTCCCTGAGGTCGCCCCATCTGACAGCATCTTGTTGCTCTACCAAGCATCACATGCCTTTTTACTTTGAAAATGTCCGACAGTGAAAGTCACTGAAGGAAAATGAAGAGGAGTTATATTTAAATTTCTTATAACTTCTTATAACTAACTTATATAAACGCTGGTTGGAGGAGCCCCTTTTTTTTTTTGCCCGCCCCACCAGAGTCTAGAATTGACACCTAGCAGACAGCGAGCAGCTCCCACCTGTCACTCAAAGAGGCCACGCCCCCTCATTCAACATCCCTTTAAGCCTGAATATAATGTAAACACAAAAACTAGGGCTTTCAAAGTGCCATCAATGGACACATGCCCTAAAGATGGAAAATATTTTTCGGCTTTGTGCTTTTATTTTGAAAGAACATAGTCAGAGTAGAAGAGAGGAGTAAGTGCGGAAAAGAGCCACAGGTCAGACTTGAACCTGGGCCGTCTGCTTGGTGGCACGACCTAACCGCTAGGGCCCTGAAGTTGGACATTTATCATAGAGTTTTGTGGGGATTGACTCACTGTTGGAGGCAGCCTCTTGTGGACACTGGAGGGACTGCAGCTAGGTTGAGCGAGTAACGTGAGTTGCTTGTTAAAGCAGGTGTAATTATTGCAGCTATTCAAAGCAGAGAGAAAGAGGGAGAGTATTTAATTGCATGCTTCATTATCCCTGAGAGTCTGCGATGCTGTAGTCGTCATGTGGACTTTTGCTCCAGTAAAATGCAAATATTGTTCAGTGTCTCCATATCTGAGAGTGGCCACTTGGCAGCTGAAATGTTACTGAGGACTGTTGTACAGCAGGCGAAACTTCATTTGGGTATTTATCAGCTGCGGTCAAAGTCACATCGGCTTTATAACGGAGCACTCTGCATACAAAGTGCCTCATCAGCGTGGAGGGAAATGCAGGTGCTCCAGCTGTCAGAAGGTTTTATTGGATTGCAGTGTGTGTTATCACAAAGAGGATCACTCTCTCTGAGGGCAGAGTGACTGAGGCACACAGGCGGCTTTCAGAGTTTTCTATTTAATACAACAGTCGTACTTTTCTTTCCAACACGTTTTAAGAGCTTATTGACTGAAACCTGCAGACGGGTTTCTGAACATTTTCCCCCTCAGCAGTCCGGCTCCACAGTTTGATCAGGAGTAGTTTGTGTGGTTAGCGGCACACAGAGTCTGATGAAACGACCTTTTGTTCACAAGTTAAAGGAAATAAAAGTGTCTGAGAGCAGGTAGAGCACCGGCGCTTATTTCCTGGAAGTAGCGGCGCCGCTTCACTTGCCCTTCCTGCAGGCGTCATTGATCTTCATTTTTCCTGTGATGTCAGCTCTGTTTTGTGCGCCCTGTGTTTTTCAGGCTGGAGATAAGCACTACCACCCCAGCTGTGCACGATGCAGCAGGTGCAATCAGATGTTCACGGAAGGAGAGGAGATGTATCTGCAAGGTGAGTCAGCACACCTGGGTCTTTTTTCTTACTGTCATGAAAATTTACTGTTTTTTTTAAGGGGGTAAAAAACAGGAAATGTTGTATTTTTGCAGCATATATTTCTGCGTACATGTCGTGCTGTCAACACTGTAGACTCAGTGTTTCATTTCTTACTTCTCTGTAAATATTTCACAGACTTTATCAAATGTTTGATAATTTCACTTTAGAGGAAGTCAAACGACTCTCTAAGATACTGGGCCACCACAAGCCCAGTATCTTGAAATATGAAAATATGAAAATAGTAATAACTTAATGTATACAGCACCTTTAAAAACAGATGTTTACAAAGACAGCAACCGAATAAACATCAACAGTCAGACCAAACAGAGAGAAGGAATGAAAAGAGATCCAACAGGCGGGTCTCGAGGGGAAGTTAAAGCTTTACATAAACATCATGATGACAGCTTTATGTGCTCACTATTCTTTCATGGTGTCCTCAGGACCTCTTTACGCTCTCCGTCCCAAACACCTTTTTGTTGCTGCACCTTTCTTCCCTGTGTGCGACTCTGCTGATGTCTCATACGGTTGATGCAGCCTACCCTCCAGGTTCATAACAAACTGTAACGCTCTGACTCATTGTGAGGTGGACTGTTGGGTAGGATGGCGTGCTCTGGCGACCCGTAGGCTCACACACTGGTTCACCTTTAAGGCTGTCTGCTCCCTCACACACCTCTGTGTTTTTGTCATGCAGAAAAGTAGTAGTCAGGATTCTTTGCGTCCTCAGGACCTCTTCACGCTCGATGTCCCAAACACTGGGACAGAAACTAAGAAAAGGTCTTTCAGGTGTTCTGCAGCCTCAGCCTGGAATCTGTCTCAGAACGACTGAAAGCTCGAGGAGCTGGAGTCCTTAAATGTTTTAAAATCTAAATGGAAAGACCTGGAAGCAGATTCTACAGGATGTGGATGTTGTTAGCTCGACTGGTTCCCAGATTTGACTCATCGATGGTTCTCTTTGATGCATCTGTTAGTGTTTGTACTTTGTCTCTCTTTGAGTCTCCGTCGGTGCCTTGGGGTTTTTGCTGCTGCTCAGCAGCAAAAACAACAACTGAGAGGAAGACAACGACATGAACTCATGAATTCTTTCAGCGCTGACGAGTGCTGCCTACAGGGTGAACTGTTTGAGCCCTCGTGACTGATAAGCATTATTTCCATACTTCAGTTATTCAGTGACCCTTGTTACCCTGTGCTTTTTGTTTTGTGTCTCACTTATTTTATTATATTTTTTAGTGTAGAATTGCAGCGCAATTCAAGCACCACATTTATTTTGAAATGCAACATTTGAACCTGAAAGATCATCATGACTAAAATCTTCACACCATGTTTGTTACACAATCAAATGTCCAATCAGTGAGATGTGTAGTGACTGAAATGATAAAGGTACCTTACTATATGATCAGACATTAAGGAAACATGTTATGTTGAAGTGCTGGCTTCTCTGACAACAATGCAGCAGCCAGTATGTCCTCCTTCTAACTTTAGATTCTGGTCCTGAATGCTCTGGATTTGTTTGGACCAGAGAAGGTAGGAGGTTTTAAGACACCCCCACATGGCTGTTTTGGACGCCCCTCGGTTTGCCCGATATGAGAGCAGTTATCAGGTCAACAGGTGTTGCAGTGATGGAAGCGGGCAAGAGAAGTGGTTCAGATAGAAGTGATTGTACTCGACCGAAAAAGCCTCTGCATGTTTCTAATAAGCTCCACGAGCAGAAACGTGCTCAAACTAGGATCAATATTGGAGATGCTTTTGAAAAATGGAGAGAGGTTAGAACACAGAAAGGTTTACAGACCGATGCAGAGCTGGATAAACACTGAAGCTTCAGTGTCCACCACATGGCAACCTGCATGAGCATGGACTCTAGAGAGGAGGGGGGGAGATAGCTCTCTACAATGTTTAGAATCTGGACTGCAGTCTCCATTTTAAACACTAGGGGTTAGAGTTACATACTGCTCCTTTAACTAAACTTATTTCTTTTAAGCTTCTTTCCTTTTGTTGGACTTGTTTGGTCACCGTCTATCTTTGCTTTACATGTTTCACACGGTTTCATGTTAACTACTTATCTTTCACAACTTAAACGTTAGAAAAGAGCCACAAAAAACTGAAGAATAAAACATCAACATCAATAGTAGATGTTAGAGTATATCCACACGCTGCTGCAGCAGCCAGTCAGAAAAGAGTGAAATCACAAACACCCAAGACGACAACATCGTCTTTAAACGGAAACAATACAAAACAGAGTTTTATTTTTAATTATTTTGTTCTGAGTGTTTCTCCGTCTCTTCCTCCTCAGGGTCGACAGTTTGGCATCCCGGCTGCAAAAACACGACGAGAACAGAGGAGAGACACAGGGAGCGGGTAGGAATCTGAACGTCTCGGACTCCATGTCCATGACTTTTTCTTTACTGAAAGACACTTCCTGTTCCCCTCTCATGACAAAGTTTTACTGGGAACATGTTCGGAGGAGTCTGCAGACCGCTTCCTGTCTAACTGTTAAACTTTAACCTGCTGTGGTCTGAATCATTTGCATGTTGTGTGTGTGTGTGTGTGTGTGTGTGTGAGAGAGTGTGTGTGTCTTTGCAGTGTGCTTATAAGTCTACCTGTGAATGTGTGTATTTACATGTCGGTGTGTGTGTGTGAGCTGCAGAGGTGACACCCTGTGTGATGTCCTGTGAACCCCCCCTCTCCCTTCCTCCACAGCTCTTGCCTCCGTCCCTCTTATTCCTCCAAAAAACACAAAGGCAGGTACTGTATTCGCTATTGGCTATGAGATGGCATCATCCTGTGTTCCTCCATGTACATTTGGACACACTGCACTGTATGCTGCCATCTGCTGGAGACAGCCTGCAGTGCCCTCTCTGTGTCTCATTAGGAGCCATTCAGTCTTGTTTTTAACACCTTCAGCTCCTGTTTACACCTGCCATTAACCCTTTGCCCAACATCGTCTCTAACCGTCTGATAGATGATATCAGCCTCTGGGGACGGGTGTTCATTTCTCTGTAATCATGCTGAAGCGGTTGGCATTGAAAAACCTCCAGCCAAGACTTTCTTTTCCATGCAGCGTTAACGTCCTCAACGTTAACACGGTCTTTTCTCGGCCCCTAAAATCCACAAGTGACGCCCCGCCCATCTGATGAATCTCAGTAAAGTTCAACAGTTTATTATAAGTTACACATCAGTTTATCTGTCACACTGCGGCCATATGAGCCTTAATAAACAACAACAAAATAAAGCCATCTTCTTGTGATCTGCTCTCGATTAACGGCTCTGAAGTTTGCTGAAATGAAAACATCATGATGCAGATTTGTAAAGAGTAGAAGTCCAGCTGTGTCAGGTCGGTCTGATACAGATACCTGAACACTTCCCTTGCTGAAAGTCCTGACCCACAAATACAGAGTCCACATTTCTAGGTAGAATCAGTGAGAAGCTTACATAAAGAACTTTTCGTATTAACAGCGATAATTCTTACTAATGCGATTTGTTAGTTCCAAATCATTATTTTACAATTATGTAAAATGCCCTAGTGTGACGAGTCTGACTCATAGTGGCTCTATGGTGCGTTCCATTTACCTCTGATCTCGGCGCTGGACACATGTCCACAGATAAAGCTGTCGGTGTGATCGATTTAATTTCACAAACGGAGGACTGAGCTGTTAATAAACACTTTAATGTAGAGCTTAAACCTTACTGTTGATGCACGTACAGCAGCCATGTTGGATTTTTACACGGGACTCTTCGAGTTCTCGACTTTAGTGGGCGTTCCTGATGATGTAGCAAACCGGTAACTCGAAAATTTCTGACTTCCGAGATCAAATGGAACGCACGGTTAACACCAGGTGTAAACAGGCAAGTAGACTTCGCTCATATCAGCGTTGCATGAGACAAAGACGAGCACACATTGAGAAGATCAGGCACAAAGTGAACTCATATTTAATGAAACACGCTGCTGCTGCCATCCAAACTCTCCATCTCATCTTAACAACATGAACTCACAGCGCTGCAGCTCATTCACTTTACACATTTTGTAAATGAATGACTGAATCATTAGACGACATTAAAGTATGTCTGATTATTAATGAAAGGTAAACACAGGGCGGTAACCCCCTCCCATCGCTCATACAGAGTGTAGATACACCATGAGGGGGGGCAGGGTGCTAAGATAAGATATCCTGTATTTATCCCACAACGGGGAAATTTACAGCAGCAAAAATTGCTGCAAAAATTTACAAAAAATAGAAAGATACCACAACATAGATTAAAAAAAAATAGATCAGCTGAGAGCTGTGGTGGATTATGGGAGACTGAGTGACACACTGATGTAACCTTGACTAACAGACACGCGTGTGTGTGTGTGTCTGTGTGTGTCTGTGTGTGTCTGTGTCTGTGTGTGTGTGTGTGTGTGTGTGTTTTTCCTCACAGCCTACGAGGTCGTCGTCCGAGAGTATTTGTTCCAGACCTGGTTCAAGCATACCTGGCTCACCGGGCCACACCATCTATGTAAGAGACTGAACAGAGTTCTTCTTCATGCCTTTAGATCTGTCTCTCCCTTTTTTGCAGCTATACCTCAATAAGTTCTACCAAAGCTATCTCCTGTATTCATCCCTGTGCGTGTCTGCATGTCTGTCTTTATTTGTCTCCCTAGGCAAAAGTAGACAATGAGATCCTTGATTACAGAGACCTAGCTGCCATCCCCAAAGTCAAAGCCATTTATGACATTGAGCGCCCCGATCTTATTACCTATGAACCTTTGTACAGCACCTCCCTGGAAGAGAGGGACGAGAGACAGGAGAGTGTGGGAGAGGTAAACACACAGGCTGCACGCTTCTTCTCCTGCATGCACGCCATCTTTATGCACCAACAGAACCGTGCATCAAGATAACCATTCCAACAAATGATCCTCTGTTTAGCTGTGGGCTCTTACTCTGGAAGAAAATATGGTTTCATGTTTCAATAATGTGTGTGTGTTCTGATTGTGAGAGATGTTTCTTTGATGCAGAGCTGAACTTGTGTGTCTCTCACAGCTCCACACTGCCAGGAGGGAGCGCTCCCCTTTACCTGATGACAAGGTGAGATTAACGCCACCGTGTGCTCGTCATGGTCAATTTTCAAACACAAAGGAGAGAATGGCTTTGCGCTTTTCAAAGTTGTCCAACCAGGTTCTCGTCCAAATATCTGTTTGTGTGGTGAGAGTGTTGTATGAAGCAGCTGTGACCTCCGTCGGCCAATCAGGTGTCTCTGCTCGTCAGCATAGTGGGAGAGTAACTGTGTGTGTATGTGTGAGCGTGTAAAAAGTCCAGTTAGCATCGCTAGCACATTTGGTTTTGTCTGCCCTCGCACTAATCTCACGTAAACTAAAGTGACAGCGTCGCACGATGACATCAAATGGAGGAGAAACCGGCGCACAGCGTGATGTTACAAGAACTAAATTCTGTTTCCCCGTCTACACAGAAACACCTTAAAGTCAGGGTGGGTCATTTCCTCCGGATCCACTTTTTCAGATTTGGGTTGAAATTGTCTTTAGGTCCTGACAGAAATTAATAACTCATGTTCTCTGAAAAAGGAACAAAGAAAATCTGTCATCTGTATCAGTTGTCAGCTGTAAAAACTTTGACCAATGTCTGCCACGAGGTACCAATCTGATGAACCAATCACAGGCCTCCCTGTCTCCCTGCTCGTTCTCTACCTCTTGCGAGCTCTAGTCCACACTCAAAGTGCGTCACCGATGACGGAGTTTATACTGTGAGTTTACTTACTGCTGAATAAGACATGAGACAACGTAGTTTCTACACAATGTAAGAGATGAGCTGAGGTCCACTTCTGGAGCAACGGCGCTCGTGCATGTAAGTGAGGGGGCGTGGCTTTAGAGGGAGCACAGAGGGGAGGGGGTGAGTGCAGACGGTGCACTGAGCGAATGCTACTTTCAAGCACATGCTAGTTTTTTGAAAATTTCCAACCCTGCCTTTAAACGAAAAATCTGAACAACTTCACCCTGGAAGGAGTTTTACTAAAGGAGTGTTTTCAGTGAACTAAAATGCAGTTTGTGTACGAAAGGTCAAAATGCACAGAAAAAGAAACGTTTGGAGGGGAAAAAAATAGACAAAAATAAATAAATAATTCAGTTTTGTTTGCTTCTCTCTTAGTCCTCAAGAAACATGTCGCCGACCCCCCCTGGTGAGGTGAGCGTGTCATCATATTAAAGTCATCTGTATTGACTTTAAACATCATAAAGAACACGTCGTGCTGCTTCTCGCCGCCTGTTGAATCATCTCTCTGTGTGTGTGTGTTCTTGTGTTTGTGTGTGTCAGGGCTCGTACGACAGGAGGGAACGTATCCTCCAGAGGTCCACCAGTCAGGGCTCCATAGGATCACCTGTTTATAATCGCCATGGTTACATCCCCACCTTGTCACGATCCCCTCAGCATTTTCACAGACCAGGTGAGAGATGACACTTAGACGGTTTCAGTGTTTCAGGGATTGATAACGAGGTCGATGATGTGTTCACTGACCAGGTCCGTGATGCGTTCACTGACCCTCCACCTGAAGGGTTCTCTCTTCAGTTTAAAGGAGAACTGCATCAAATTGACTTCCCGTTGTTATGTTATTTTTCTTTTGAAGACTTTGAAATGAAAATCCCTCATTTTACTGAGTAACAACTTTAAAGTCAATTTTGCACCTTTAACAAAACCGTCTCAGAGTTTGATTGAAAAGTGTCGGCTCAGAGCAAAGATTTGATATGACCCTAAACCGTCCTCGATCATCGTAGGGAAAAGGTGAACAGATTATTCAACAGGTAGTACGATTCACTGTTTTTAATTAACCCTTCAACATCGCCAGCAGCCGTAGAAAGAACGAAGAGAGTTTTAAGTCTGTCACAAGAAAATGTAAACTTCATTGTCAGATTGAGCCACAGAGGTTACGCTCTGAAGACAAAACTAAATCAACTCCAAAAGTTTCTGCAGATTTTGGTGAATGCATCTGCGTTCTGTTGCAGGAGCTACATGAGAGTTCTGTCCTAAGTCGAGATGTGAAGTTGACACCAAACCCTGACGTGTAAACTCGTTACGCTCTAAGGTCCGATCACACAGAGTCATGTCGCTAGAAATGCAATGCTAGCATAGTCACTGTTTTCTCTTCTCTACTACTAAGCGACATGGTGCGTAAAAGTAAAAACATGTCAGCTCAGGACGCAGAGTCGCAACGCTCATCAATGTCACTTCTGGCTGAAGCAGCCAATCAAATCAAGGAAGAGGCTTTACCTCACATTTTCCCGCTCCTCGTCTGAGAGCAAAGCGACGGCGAGAACTCTACGTTTGCCAGATTCCATTTGTTCACACTTTTTTGAATTCGTCTCCCAGGCGCTCTCAGCTGTTTTTTCCCCAGGATGCGCTCAGGTGTTTTTGGAGCAGCTGCACCTTGTCTCTGTGTGATTGGGCCTTAACTTCAGTTGAGTCACTGTTTGGTTACCACGGAGACGTAAGGTTAATCTTTACTAGTACAGTGATACGGCCACACTAACAAAACATAGTGGCAGTAATGAGATTTGAACTTTATGTGACCAATCAGAGAGCAGCATTTTTATCAATGCAATATGACAAAGCATCATGATGAGCTGATGACTAAAGCCTACAGCCTTCATCTACAGTGACATGTAGTGGTGAAATCCTAAACTACAACACAAGGTCATTCAACAGTCCTCTGTGATTGGACGAATTAAATTATGTGGGCTCATCATGGAACTAACGCAGGAGTAAAAACAAAGTCTGAGGGATGTAGCCGATCACAAAGAACACACAGCTGACATCAAACAGACGCTAAAACCCTCTGCTGCTCCTCCTCGTCCTCCTCCCAAGTCTAACACCATCACCATGACAACCGCATTTTGCAGAGGACGTCACACCTACCAGGAGCTAGGGTGAAAGATTTAAGGTGTAACTACTGACTGACTTGGAACGATCTCATAAGGCGACGCTGATGCAAACGCTACATCCTGTGTCTCTGCCTCTCTGCTCTTTATATGTGTGTGTAACTCAGCTGCGCCTCGGTCACACAGTCACACTAACCTGCAGCTCGAAGCTTTAGGTGACATCGGCCACACAGGCAGAAACCGTCGGTGTAACCTCACAGGTTTCAGGAAGCTAGCAGCTCATCTCGTCTGGTTGTAAATCTTTGGTGTCAACTGGCCTCAACACTTTTCTTACCTCTCACTTTGGGTGTTTCTTTTATTTCCTGTATTCCTTTTCTTTTGTCCCTCACCTCTTCACCTTCTACCTCCTCCTCCTCCTCAACCCGTCCTCCTCCGCTGCCTGGTCCGGGGGTCCTCTCCCCCGTCCCTCACCTCCTCCTCCTCCGCCCACCCTGCAGAGGCTCTGACAGGCATGCAGAAGCTCTGCTCCTCCCTGTGCAGTAACAGTGTGGGCTCCAGAAATAGTGACTCCCGCCCCACCTCCCCTTTCAGACACCACTTCCTCCCCCATAGCCAAGGTAAGCCCCCCCCCTTCCCCCACTCTGCCCCCACATCTCCTGAGGAAAGACTTCGTCTCCATCGTCACCTTGATGTCACCTCCCTTCACATCCCCGTCCTTTATTCCTGATCTTTGACCATTGCTCATCATCACATCATGCCATCGTGAACGCTCACACCCTGTCTTGGTCGAACTTTTGCAGACGTGATTTTTTTACTGAAAAGCATGAACAAACAGACCCCCCCCCCAACACACACACTCCACCTCTGAGTTAGCTCAGTTTCTAGTCACCTAGTTGATGAAGCATCTTCATTAGATTTAAAAGTAACGAAAAACCGTCTCAGGTTTGATAAGAATAAATCAATAAATCCATCTGACACCAAAAAGTCGTCTCTTTCCTCGTCCATCTTCAAGTTAGCTTCAGATGTTTGAACCTTACAAACCTATCTCAGCTAGCATGTTATAAATGAGCCTCTCTAATGTAGACATTTAGCCCCCGGCTGTAGTCGTCATGGTAACAGTTGAATACACAAACACATACTCTACATGCTAACAGTTAGCTAACAACGGGCTGTAGTCGTCATGGTAACAGTTCAATACACATACTCTACATGCTAACAGTTAGCTAACAACGGGCTGTAGTCGTCATGGTAACAGTTCAATACACATACTCTACATGCTAACAGTTAGCTAACAACGGGTCATAGTCGTCATGGTAACAGTTGAATTCACATACTCCACCTGCTAACAGTTAGCTTACGACAGGCTGTAGACACTAGCAGAGTCAGATTTGATCTACATCCTGTAATAATACTGAATTTCATCAGTGGACATGATTCTTTTTCAACTCACAACGTCTTTGTCCACTTCTCCGCCCTCTGATTGTCAACAGATGCACATTGCTGCTGTGTGATTTTTGACAGTTTAGTTGCACTCGCAGACCTTTGGTGGGCGCCAAAGTGCACCAAACTGAATTCCTATAAATGAAGGTGTTGGACCCTCCATGCGATCACTGTCAGACCCGAGGTGTCAGAGAGCAGCATCCAGACTCTTTCCACCAGAGAGAGACTAATAATCACAATCCTACATCCACACAGAGGGATCTCTGCAGGTTCTGGTTTACTGTCAGGCTGACATCAGAAGGAAGGTTGTGATGCATGCTGCAGCTGGGAGGTGTGAACAACTGAGCCGTGAATCAGACTAACATGAAACCTCATGACTCATCCCAGATCACTCAGCATCTAACCTTGTCATGTCTAACTCTGCTAGTTTAATGTGCTTTGGTACCTTCATGTTCACACCCAGCTTCATTAACCTCTATCAGAGCCAATCAGAGTCCATCTGACCCCGTGTGTCCCCCTGTGTGTGGCAGCCTTCACGCTGTTCCTCCCCTCTTTAGTGTCCCTGCTTACGTTCTGTTCTTGGTTCTTCTCATGGAGGCACCGACCCCCGAGCGGCCGGAGCTCCCCCTCCCGCTCAGGCCCGACAGCCGGCCGATCACCCCGCCTCTCTCTCTGACCCCTAAACATTTCCACCTCCCAGGTAGGAGTGGGAGCGCACCCTGTCACTGCTCGTCCCACCATCCTCTAAATGTTTGTTGGGTTGTCTTTGTCTCTGTTTCTGTTTTTTTTCTGTTTGTTATTTTTTTCTGTTGATTGATTTTTAGATTTTTTTCTCAGATATTTTTTAATTCTTTCATTTGTATTTATCTTTCTTTTTGACTCTATTTCCTAATTGACTTTTAAAATTTTTTTTATTCTCTTTATTTGTCTTTTTTTTGCTTCATTTTTTTTTTTTTTAAGATTTCTTTAATACTGTCTGTATATCTGTCGCTCCATCTGTCTATCTGTCCATCTCTGTGCCTGTCGGTCTGTCTGTCTGTGTGTCTGTGTGTCTGTGTGTCTGTTTGTCTGTCTGTGTGTCTGTCTGTGTTTCTGTCTGTCTGTCTGTCTATCTGTCTGTGTGTCTGTCTATCTGTCTGTCTATCTGTCTGTCTGTCTGTGTGTCTGTCTGTCTGTCTGTCTGTCTGTGTTTCTGTCTGTCTGTCTGTCTATCTGTCTGTCTGTCTGTCTGTCTGTCTGTGTTTCTGTCTGTCTGTCTGTCTGTCTGTGTGTCTGTCTGTATGTCTGTCTGTGTTTCTGTCTGTCTGTGTGTCTGTCTGTCTGTCTGTCTGTCTGTGTGTCTGTCTGTCTGTGTTTCTGTCTGTCTGTCTGTCTGTCTGTGTGTCTGTCTGTATGTCTGTCTGTGTGTGTGTCTGTCTGTGTGTCTGTCTATCTGTCTGTCTGTGTGTCTGTCTATCTGTCTGTCTGTCTGTGTCTGTCTATCTGTCTGTCTGTGTGTCTGTCTGTCTGTGTGTCTGTGTGTCTGTCTATCTGTCTGTCTGTCTGTCTGTGTGTCTGTCTATCTGTCTGTCTGTGTGTCTGTCTATCTGTCTGTCTGTCTGTGTGTCTGTCTATCTGTCTGTCTGTGTGTCTGTCTATCTGTCTGTCTGTGTGTCTGTCTATCTGTCTGTGTGTCTGTCTGTCTGTCTGTCTGTGTGTCTGTGTATCTGTCTGTCTGTGTGTCTATTTGCCGTTTTTTATCAGCTTGTGTTTTTTCCATCGTCTTTCAAATCAAGATCTGTTCACCCTTTAAAAGTATTTTTTATCGTGATTTGATTTCTTTGTTTTTTCAGATCAGGGGAGCAACATCTACAGGAAGCCACCGATCTACAAACAGCACGGTACCTTTACTCTTATTCTACTTCCTGTTTGACTGTTAAAGAATGACTGAGTGAGTTGTGAGGTTCTTTAATGAGAAAGCTTCTCTTACTGTACTCAACAGAGTCTGTGACTTCATCTGACCATGTAGTCACCTCAGTGTCGCTGTTTGAAGTCTGTCTCTCCTGTCTATAGCGTGTCTCTCGCTGCACGTTGTCCTAACTAGTCACTGTAGTAATGTTGTTTTCATCAGCCTTTTGTGAGGCGTGATGTTTGTGTTAAAGTCAACCTGAGGCTGAAAACAGCGTTGACAGCTCACCACCAAGTTACCAAAGCTAAACAGTGGCTAATTCTTTAGCTTGCATATGAGCTAGTTACCAATGACCAGAGATGTTTACTTATTAGACTAAAGAAACCAAAGCCCAGTGACTGAGTTAGCTGAGGAGAGGCCTAGCAGACATCTAGCAGCTCCCACCTGTCACTCAAAGAGGCCACACCCCCTAATTCTACATCCCTTTAAGCCTTAATATAATGTCAACAGAGCCCTAGAGACCCAAACTGTTTTAGTACCAGGCTGTAAACAAGTTTATTTTAACATGGGGCTCTATGGGGACTGACTCACTGCAGGAGACAGACTCTAGTGGACACTGGAGGAACTGCAGCTGTAAAGTTGGACATTTTAACATGGGGCTCTATTGGGGCTGACTCATTTAACACACTGAAAGCAGACCGTGTGCTTTGATGCATGGGAAAGAAAAAAATCAGTAATCACACCATTTCTACCAACTCACTGTCAGAGTCCTGCTCAGTCACAGGGCTTTTCTATCCTTATTAGCAATTAGTCGACATTAGGCATAAAGCGTCACCACACAGCTGCAAAGTCATCTAGTCAACAAGTCTGTGCAACCCCCATGCTGATCCCCTCAGAGTGCAGCTGAGACGCTGGTTTCAGAAGAACAGAGCAGTTAAACTCTCATGTGAATGTAAACCTCTCTGTCTTCTGTATGTATTACACATCCAATGATGCTACGATGTTTCCCTGTGGTTGCGGCTTTGACCCAGACATTGATAGATCAGTTCCCATGGTTACCAACCTAGATATGGCCGCCATAGCACGCCACAGCAAGGCTGGTGATGACATCATCAGATCCGCCACCTTCCCCGCTGCCCACGCTCCCTCTCCGGACGACAGCTCGAGGAGCGAGGGCGACCGTTGGCCCTGCTCTCTCGTTGTGTTAGGTACAGTAGGCTCTTGACGGGCATGCTCGCAGAAACAGACACCTGACACGTCTGCTAGCCGCCGTAAACGCTTAACTGCACCCCCGCTTCACTCTGAGCTCACGCTGTTTTTCAGCATTTTTAATATTTGCCTTTAAGTTTCGTTTGCACAGAGGAGAAACATTTTATTGGTTTCTTTTGCTGCCTTATTATTTTCTGCTTGAAGAAGCATTAACATCACCTTCAGCTGCTGTACATGTAGGTGCACTAGTGTTTAGGGTTGTCATCATAGCATGTTTTTAAACGTTGACATGATTTGATAAAATTGACGACATTGATACCTGTTTTGATACCACGGCAACAAAAAGAGAAGTCCTATGCTCCCAATATTGGGTAACTTCTTGTGTTTGATTAGGCAAACTCCTGCACACTATCTAAGTTACAGAAATATGTCTGCAACATTTTTTGTTGCAGACATATTTGTGCAATTTAGACAGTTCTCTCTCTCTCTCTCTCTCTCTCTCTCTCTCATGGCAGCTTTTGGTCAAAGGTCACATATTCTGTAAAATCCACTTCCCCATGTTCCTCTAACTCTAACATGTGTCTCTAGTCTGTCTACAAACCCCCCAATGATGAGAAAAGTCCATCCTCTCCGTCTTCTGCCTGCTCCACTTTTCAGAAAATGTGTGCTCAAACAGGCCGTTTGAAGATTTTCCCTTCATGACATCACAAAGGGCAGTAACCCCTCCCCCAGGTGGGTGACACTCCCACAGCTGGGTGTTTGTTCTGACCCTCTGAGTCTGCCTTCTCACCGTAAACATGGAGCGAGAAAGCCAGAGACACCCAAGCCCTTCCAGAGAGGGGGCATGGTCAGACACAGCTCATTTACATATTTAAAGGTACAGACACAGAAACAGCCTGTTCTGAGCAGGGCTGAAATAGAGGGGTTTATAGACATGATCAAATACAGGACCAGAGTGGATTTAGAACAAGAAACTTCACACACGTGTTTTGAGGAGCTCTGAGACTTATTTACACTGGTTGAAGAGGAGGAGAATATGTGACCTTATTTGACAGAAGATTATTTAAAGCTTTGGTACCTTTTGATTCTAACTATTATTAAAATAACAGATGTTATCGTTTTAAATCACGTGGTATCAAAAAAGTTTGAAAGAATTTAAAGTTTTGGCAACCTTACTAGTGATACACTCGAGTGCCACAAATCCCCGGACAGAGATAACTGAGACGGACTTCAAACTGTTTTCTGTCTGTCTTACATTGTGCTGTTCTGTGTTTGTAACATCCAGTTAAATCCTGACATGCAGAGACAACATGCATCACGTCAATGCGACCTGATATTCCAATACGTCCCTCTGTTCGTCTGTCTCGTCAGCTCTGTCTCACATTTGTGTCTTTTTTCTGTCCAATTCGTCTTCTGTGTGCACTCCTCACAGAAGCAGCCATCTTTCTGTCCGTCTACACTCCACTGTTGATGTACAACTCTGGTTTCACGACACTGAGAACGTGTGAAGCATGGTGTCCTGCCTTGTTGTCTTTACATGTGTGATTTTATGCATTCTCTTTTTGGCCTGTGTGTGGCACCCGTAGGTTCAGAAGGGAGGCGGCGATCCAGAGAAGACGAGGAGGAGGAGGCCTTGAAGAGAAAGCAGCTCCAGGAGGAACATCTCAGTAAGGTCAGTGCGACTGAACTGAATCACTACCACCGCTAAAATACATGCACAGAACATATATCTAACAATAGAAACCTCTTAGTAACATTCATACATTTGTGTGTGTGTGTGTGTGTGTGTGTGTGTGTGTGTGTGTGTGTGTGTGTGTGTGTGTGTGTGTGTGTGTGTGTGTGTGTGTGTGTGTGTGTGTGTGTGTGTGTGTGTGTGTGTGTATAGATCCAGTCTGGTTTGGGGAAGCTCATTTTGAAGGAGGAGATGGAAAAGGAACAGATCAGGGAGCGTCATGCTCGAAGCCTCTCAGCTCAGCGATACGACCCCAAACAGAGCAACTGTGACGCAGGTACTGAATCACCACCACTCCACTGTATGATGCTTGAACACTTTATTTTCTTATTTACCTTCATGAGGGAGAAGCCACATTGACCCAAACACTCAGTTAAACTGCACACGTATTGTGTAGACGATGGGCACACTGCCATCGCAAAACAGCACAAAGAAACAGACCCCTTAGAGATTTAACATGAACTTTAAAGAGGGCATATTATCCTCCACCTTTTCAAAAAGTCTCCTGTGGTCTAAATGAAACATCTGTGCTGTGCTTTGGTCAAAATATAACATGAATCAAGGACCAGAGGAGTTTTGTGACCCTGTTTAAACCAGCTCTCAGAACGCTCCGTTTTGGTGTGTGTGTGTCTCTTTAAATGCAATGAGCCCCCCCCTGAGTTTTCCCAGGAGACATCACTCCTCTGTAGCGAGAATAAAAATGGCGGACCTGTGTAAAAGTTTTGCTCTAGGCTGGGGGTGGAGTCCACGGGTGGAGATACCAGGAGAGGGGAGTTTTTTTTTTTTTTTTTACCAGAATCCCACTGTGTCTCTGTGTTGTAAGACTTATGCAGACCACAAACAAAGGACTGGATGGGTTTATTTACATTTTGTGGGTCATACACTCAGGTTACCCAAATAAATGTTTGGGTAACCCTCAGATAAGTCCAAGAAAAAGTGTGTGTGACGTGTCTGGATTATGAAATCACCTCCTTTGAAATTAGAATTGTCTCTGTTTTGTGTCTCAGATTTTTACCAAATCATTTTAAATTCTTAAACCAATTCTAATTCAAACATCATTCATGTTGCAGATCCGACTTCTCCAACCAAAACGAACTCTCTGCCCGGCTATGGAAGGAACGGGCTGCATCGGGTGAGAGTTCGTTATTCCAAACTTTAATCATTTCATTTAAGATTTGCAAAATAAAGATAAACGACATTCTGAATAATGTAAACGCCAGGACACAATTTAACATCGAATGCATCTTGAACTGTAAATACCAGAAACTGCTGTTTCATTCTTTATTAGTTTTATACACATTAGAGCCGCCTGTTTGTTAACGCTGTGTCGTCGTTGTTTGTCTCCCTGCAGCCCCAGTCGACAGACTTCACTCAGTACAACAGCTACAGTGACATGTGTGGAGGAGGCAGAGGTGAGAGCAGCTGCCAGGAATAACATTTTAGTGACGATTTCACCAGAGCTAATCAGCATCAGTATAAATAAATGTCTGGCTATGTGTGTGCAGAACAGCGTGCACTTTGAATGATTTGCATAGTAACAGGGACAGCAGTGTTGCAGATAGCAGTAGCCTGACTGGGGAGTTTACAGCAGAACCATTAACTGTGAGTCTCATTTTCTGTCCCATGTTGTCCTGCAGAGTTTCAGGTATGTCTCTCATCTGCTTTTTCACATGGCATGCCTCCTCACCTTGCATCATAGATTTGCTTGCTCATGAGTTGCAAGAGACACCTTGACCCGAATGCACTCCGCCCACTCCTGCTACATGCTTGCATCACTGTTGGATTAAAGTCAACTACGGGGCATGGAGTGCACTGATTTCACTGATCATGCACCGCCCCGTAGCTGAGCCAGTGTTCTGTAAATGCAATGTACAGCCATCGCCTCATGTCTTGTTTTGTGTGTTGTTTACCAGTGTTATGACTCAAGCTAAATGTCACATATTTTCACTATAGAAGTAAAATCTGCAGAAACATTCAGAGAACATGTAAACCACTGCCCATCTTTATACTGAAGATACCGACACAGTATCCAAGCTACCCGCTCCATCCAGTGAAAACTGAGCCCACTGCCATGAGTGGACATATTCATGACCATTAACCGTGCAGACCCCTTCCACTATATTACATTTGTGTATGTTCTATTCTTTAGCACATTAAGGATGGCCGTGCAGCACTTGCAAGGATGGACAGGGGAGTATCTATGCCTAATATGTTGGAACCAAAAGCAAGTATCTTCTTCTTCTTGTCCTGATGAAAACATTGAAATATGTTTAAAAAATTACCTTGTTCACTGAAGTTCATTTTAGCGTCTAAACAAATAAACATGTAGCGACTCGTTTAGAGGAAGTCCGAGCTTCATTTGACCAAAAGGAGAGACCAGCCCAAACGAGACATAATTAGCATTTCGTATTTTCCCTGTTACCGTGGGGACTTTGAACTCAAAGAGATTTTTACTGGAGGTGAAAGACTCACGTTAGCTGGCTCCCTGATTTAGCATGCTGCTTCAGGAGCTGTAGCGCTTAGCATGCTGGCTTCTCCATGCTCATCTGCACAAAGCTGTGACTTAAAGCGGCTGGATACTGTATGCAGCATACAGTGGAGAATCCAACGCCCAGACTGTCAAACACACAACTCATATCACTATATACTGCCCAGTATATAAGAGTCTGTACGTTACTGTGTGGATATGAGTTGGCCTCGAAGAACTTCTAGCTGCTTATTGTTGAGCATTTCGGCTAAATTAACAAATTGGCCAGTTTCTAAGTCATGAAGACGTAGACACTCCCACGTGGATTTATTTGGCCTCCAGTCCTGGTGTTAGATCTATTTTGAGTTTGCATTCAAATAAAGCCTGTTACATAACTCTGTTTCATGTTTTTGCCCTTACCTGAACTATTGCACGTTTGTACACCTAAAGAAAGCGTGCACACCACAGCGCCCTGCACCCCCCCAACAACCTAAAAGCAGCTCTCTCTCTCTCTCTCCCAGTGAGCCTCCCGTCACTCTCCTGTTCTCCCACCCACAGTTCTTTCTGTCACAGTCAGAACTACAAACTTATCAGAATTTGATGGTTCTGTTTGATAGAAGAAATGGTTTGCAGTTTTTTTTAAAGTGTGACTCCAGTTTGGAGGTGTTACCTGTGCTCTGACACCTGTCTCCTTCTGAAGGTGTATCCCTATGAAATGCTCATGATAACCAGTAGAGGGAGAGCTAAACTGCCCAGGGATGTGGACAGAACCAGACTGGAGGTATCACCTTTCCACCTGACTGTCTGCTTATGATTTAGGGTGCAACAGATCACAAACCTTCACGGTTCAGGACGTTTCACAGATTTAAGTCCTGGGTCGGAACATTTCCCAGATTGGTAAAAAATACAAATATTGAAATTATGAATCGCCTCCTCAACTGGGCACGACTGTTACTGTTTTTTTTATAGAACAACACGTCACACTGCGTCGTATTAATGTGATGCATCCTCACATATTTCACTATATATATATGACTACCAAGGCCGCCCATACAAAGGGGGAAGCTTTCAGGGGCCCAGGCTCATGGAGGGGGGGCACATTAGGTAAAACGTGGAGCCCATTGAACTTCACTGTTAGGCCAGTAAAGTCGGGCTGGGTATAGCTATGTTAGGACCGGCACAAAGTCAGGATGCTGGAGAGAAAGGAGACATTTGACCCCATTGTTAACCAAAGTCAGCAAACGTTTTTCAGCCAGCCAGACAGAGGAGGCGAATGTTAGCCAGGATGCTAACGCTAACGCCTCTGTGGAGTCCCGTCAACGTGCCCATTCAGGAGTCCAGCCTTTCCTGTGAGTGGCCCTCTGACTCTAACTCTAACAGTCTGAAATATAAAAAGCGATTTCAACATTTGATTAAACAATTATATTTCAAACCAGAATTTCTCACCAACTTTACAAACAAATTAGAATTAGTGTTGGTCATTTGATCCAGCATTAGTTTATATCTTCTGTAACGTCTGGCGGCAGTGTGTTCCCCGTGTACCGGAGGACGGCAGAGAAAGTTAAACTTAAATGACCACTGCCTCCATACTCGTAGCTGCGAGAGAGACAGGAGCAGAGACGGCTGCAGCGAGAAAGAGTTCAAGCAAGAGGACGAACCAGAGGAAACATTCAGGAAGCTTTCAGAGACGACTGAGGGAGAGGAGGGGTCTGAAAAGAGACCCTAAAGTTTGGTGTTCATCCCAATGAACGAGACATGAAGTTGAATAAAGTTCAAAGTAAAAATAAAGTCTCTCCGCTCTGTTACAGAGCTGTGATGCGGCGTCGCTGTGTGTGTAGTTGGGGATCGTGATAGATGAAGGATCCCGAGGGTAGGGGTGGTTTAGACGGCGCCCTGAGATGTTACTTTTCAAATCCGACTAACTTTCCAAAATGACCAGCCCTACCTTTAACCTTCTGATTGTTGTCACACGCAGCCAGCAGCTGATTCCTGTAAAATAAACGACCACATGGTGAGAGGAGAAAAGTAGAAGCAGTTTGCAAAAAGCTTGCTAATTAATCAAAAATGGCTCCGACACACACCCACACAACTTAAACACAGCCTTCTTTCCACTCAGACTCTGCACAGGGATTTATGTTGAACCAAGAGGATAAGATTTTTATCAGGACCTGGATCAGGTATTCAAACCGGGGGTGGGGGTGATTGGGCCGTGATCTGTTGCACCACATGCTTCTGACTCTGGATTTCTCTGCTTTGTGTAAATAAACGTTACACAAATAAAAGTGTAGCCGTGAACGTGCAGTATCCATTGCTTTCTGTCATTTTTGCTGTGACCCTTTTTATGGCTTTCGGTGCTAATCTCAATCACCCCCCCTCCCCTCCCCTCCCGCCCCTCCCCTCCTTTGTTTTCTCCCCCTTTGTTCTCGATTCTAGCGCCACTTAGCACCTGAAACGTTCTTTGACATCTTTGGAATGGAGATCCAGGAGTTTGACAGGCTTCCCCTGTGGAAACGCAACGACATGAAAAAGAGGGCCAAGCTCTTCTAGCATGCACATTCTGTACATTCATCAGATAGCACACGACTTCTGTACTCTAGATGTAGGTTTTTTTGGGTTTCTTTCCTTTTCTTCTGGATCTTTCTTTTTTCTCCTGGAACACTGATGGAAGCTGGAGACGGACTCTTTTGGCTCTGACGCTTCCTGAGACTGTGAGCAGGATGATTTTTACAGTTAGCTGCACAGGAAACACGAGCGGGAATCTCTTCAGTTCAAATATGACAAAGAATGCAAATGACCGATAAATAGGGTCATGTGATTTGATTTGCTTGTTTTTTCTTCTTTCTTTGCTTCGGGTGGAAATGCTTTCCTTTCTTTCGTGCTTGTTTGTTCCTCCTCTTTGTTGCTGATGATTCCTGTGGAACTTTGTAAGTACATTCGAACCTCATGGCGCCGTTTTGCTCGTAGCTTGAACACGTGTCAGCTTCCCTCCGCTTGGGCTGAAACTGTTTTAGTCCAAAGTTTGCAAGAATCGGCTCAGTGAGTCTTTGAATTAAAAAAAAAAAACAGAAACAGTGGGGGGGGGGGGGGGGGGCGGCCAGCTGACCCATCAGCTGTTTTAAGGATCTTCATAGAAATTAATCCACACGCCATCAGGCTCCTCCCCTCGCCGGCTGTACACTCCAAACATCATCCGACCCCGACTTAAAGAAAACGTCTCTCTTCTCAGGCCACACTCTCCCTTTATGTATCAGAAGGACACATCGTGATCTATTTTAACGCCCTATCAAACGTACAGTAACCGACCCGCAGATCAAAACATTCAGAAGCAGACTGTGTTTGGAAGAACTGTTTTATAAATGAAACCCACACTGCCATTTGTTGTATTGAAATCTAAGCCAATAAAGCTTTAAATCACCATGAACCATCGGATCCTGGGCTGCACCAAAGGGACCAACGTCTCCTTCTCTTCTCTGCTTCCTGTCTTCACATTGCACCAATAAAAACACGGCGAGCTCAGACATGAGAGGACGTCTGAGTCAGCTGCTGAGCGGCTCACATTATCATTCTGATGTTATTTACGTTATCAGTTTAGAATTTACCAATACACTCGATCTGTCAGGATTGAATATGCAGTTCAAAGCATTTACACTTATAGTGTAGCTGCACAGAGAAGTTATCAGTCTCAGTGTCCAGCTTCATGTTTTCACCAGCTTTATTGTTTAAACACTGACTGACAGCTGACAGGGATCCTCATACTATCGTTAGCTAACAATAACTAGCTCAGTGCCTATAAAGAGGGGGTCCAGGAAATGCACAGACTGTTTTTTTACAATTTTACATAGTGGCCGAACCTGGTATTGCAGCGTCATGTTGCGCCATAGTACCCAAAAATAATTGTTCCCATAATGCCTTGTTTCCCCTTACACATGTGACTTGTGTCCGTAGATCTGTTAATATATGGATGATGCCTCCTAGGCTGTGTCAGAAATCACTCACTCATTCCCTACTCCCTATTCACTATGTAGTGAGTTTAATGCAGTGGACTATATAGTGCACTCACTCAGCAAAATTAAAAATGATTTCGGACACTATTTGCTCTCTCACCGGCCGCTGACAGTGACGTCATTGTTGTCGCGCAGCTTAACAACGGCCGAGAATCAATAACAACGGTAAATAACAGTATGAATTTCCGTGAGTCATTTACAAATACTAAATACTTATAAAATATTGAATTTTACATAATGAGACATATTTTCGGACTAAAACTAAATTATTTGTGCTCACAGACTCTGGTTTCTCGTCTGTCATCATCATTAAGACAAACTAACATCACTAAAGTTGACGATCTTTTAACCTTTATTAAAACTGATCATAGATTTCAGTAAAACGCTCTGAATATGAACTTTATTGAGTTTCTGTGTTCATGCTGGTCGCTCCTCTCGTCCGTTTGAGAGCAGCCGAGTCAAACGCCTCTCTCTGCTCGTAAAAATCTTTTGAACCACAATGCATGATGGTATATATTGCTCGCATAGTGACCATCGCTCATACACTACTTTTCAAAATGCATTGTGGGATACATTGAGTGGACTATATAGGGTATGACCATGGTCACTCTGAATTTGGACAGCACTACAAAATAGCGTGTATAGTGCACTATATAGTGAATAGGGAGTGATTTCGGACACAGCCCTAGTGTCCAATGAGAGGAAGTGCATCTCTGTCGTGCCGTGGGGGAGGTGCTAAATTAGTCTGTTTTATCAAACTAATACATACTGTTCATAAAGTATAAACATATTTTACTGTAGTAGATTAACATCACTCAGATTCACAATGAGTTAAAACTAGATAAACACATTATTTATAATCAAACAAAATCCTTCTACAATCAACTTACAGTAGGCAACTGAATCAAGGATATAGCCTGTTAGCTCGTTAGCAGCCTGTTGGCTCGTTAGCAGCCTGTTAGCTGAGCTAGCACACTCATACAAAATCCAAAAATTGTGTTTTTTAAGCTACATAAGGCATGTTAATACTCCTGAGGGGACCACATCCAATATCACGGAGATTCCCTGAATGGAAGTTGGGGTTGACTTGCCTCAATACACAAACGAGGCGTTAAGCCTTGAATTTCCCTCGGGATCAATAAAGTATCTATCTATCTATCTAAAGGCCTTTGCACACTGAGTCCGTTTATTTTTTTCGGAAATTGTTTTTGGATCCATAATCCGTAAAAAAAACATGCCTTACACACTTTTTTTTCTAGTATTTGCGAAAATTCTCAGTTTGAGACGAAATGTCTCGTCATCATCACGCAGATCAAACACACACACACACACACACACACACACACACACACACACACACACACGCACACACACACACACACACAGAGGGATGGATCCAAAAAAAGGAAGGAAATCAAACCTGTTGCAAGAAAAATAATGAGTGTTGTGTCAATCAGTGTTCAAACATGATCTAATCAACATGAGATCGTATTTCTTTTTTTTTAATGTGTGTCAATTTCGGAGGTAAAAACAGACTCAGTGTGCAATGGCTTTAAGTGTGGCGGGTAAAGGTCAAGCTAAACAAAAGGTGGAGTTCCCGAGGGACGAACCAAAACAACTCTGTATTCAACAAAAGACAAAAAAAAAGGTTCTGTCCACAACAAGAAAATCCACAACAAGGCACAAATAGATCAGGAGAAACTCTGGCAGGAAGGTAAAACAAACACTACATATACGACAGATGATTAGACACAGGTATGACTAACAACACACAGGTGAAACTGGTAAGGGCGATCAAAGAGGAGGGGAACACAAAGGCATGAAGTAAAACTTGACATGAAACATTAAAGGCCGACTGAGAACTCAGGAACATGACGGAGACGATCCTCACAAGGAGAGAGAGACAAAATAAAACAGGAAGCACGAACAGGTTACCAAAATAAAATACTAAACTAAACTTCAAACAATGAGCTTACGTTGGGAAAGAGACGTCTGTAAACCAGCGGATACATTTTTATTGGTCCATCAACCTCCCAATATGAACATTTAAACAAATATTATGGAGAATTGAATTGAGATGTCTCCCCTAAAATATCAAAATTAATTAAAAATGGACCAAACCTACGTTATATATTTGTTTTTGCGTACTTACATCATCTCAAATATTTACAACAGTTATCAAAGAGAAATCCTTCATTTTAGAGTTGTAACAGGATGTGTTTTGTAGCGGCGACCGCTATGACAGACACAACGTGTTTATCTCCCATGATTCCCCGCCAGCCTCGATGTCATCTTGATTGAGCCCCCAGGTGGTGGATTTACATACTATATCTTTAAATAATCCTTTTTAAAATCATGAGGTTCTAAAAGTCGTTAAAGCTGAAAAGCAGAGATATTATGTCGACATAATGAACGCAGATCAGAGCCACGGGACTACGACCCCAAGTGAGCGTGATCTATGGGCCCAGTAACGCCAAAGATCTGGGTACTTTTAAACACGGAGGTCAGAAGACAGATACCTGCGTCTCCCGTCAGTCGTTTTATGACAATAAAAAAATTAATTGGAAGTTTTTAATCTTGATATATTCTTGGGAACACACAGACTAATCTACCATTTAAAAACACAAAATACAGAAAATATCAAACATGTTTAATCAAACATTCAAAGGAACAGGAGAGTTGTTTCAGTAAATCTGTAGCTCTACAGCCTGACTGAAAACTGCTTCTGCCGCCACATTTCCCCAAAAATTAGGAGAGTGAGTGGCGTCGGGAGAGTTTTGCTGAATGTGTGTGTGAAACCTTTTCTACAGGAGACGTTAGAAAAGCATCAGGAGTCGTTACAGAAACAAAGAGACGCGGTGAAGTACAGACTGAAGAAACTTTCAGCGCGGCAGTCAGAGATCACAGTAAGTCCAAAACACTCAACAAAACACTCTGACATCACTGATTTACAGAAAGTGCCTCATGATTAGAGCAGGCAGAAAACAAGAACCATGAGTATAAAATATGAAATATATTAAAATAGAAGACAAAAATGAAAAATGGAAATATGACGTAAAGCTAAAGTAAGAAATAAAAAAACATAATGTATTAAAATGTCCTTAAACTGATCAGTTAACAATAAGTGACCTGCTCTGTGTTCCTTACTGTGTTATAGTAAAAGCTCTTCTACGTTGTTATAGTAACGTAGTTACTTTTACTAGTTATAGTAAAAGCTATTCTACGTGCTTCCTGCTTTCTTACAGTGCAGATGCTTTTCTTCTTGCTCTCTGCTTTGCTTACATTCTTTTGCTGATATCTTCTATTTCTAAACCTAATTTAATCGACAGCCGGTCCTGGACATTTCCAAATCCTCAGGACTGTATTTTTTGATAGATACAGGAGGTCTTTAGCCATATGTTTAACATTTTTTGACCTCTGCATCGCTAAACACTTTCATTAAACAATTTTAAACAATTTTAAATTTTAACTCTGCACTGTAACTTTTAACTCTTTTTATATTTTTACTTTATTTATTTAAATTAATTTCATTTGAATTATTTTTATTTGAACATATTTTCAGATTTAATAATTCCAGTGATTTTTTTAGTTTTTTTTATGTTCTATTTTAATGTTTCTTTTCTCTCCTCTGTCATGATGCTTTTGATGTCTTGTGTGAAGCACTTTGAATTGGCTTGATGTTGAAATGTGCTATATAAATAAACTTGCCTTGCCTTACGGACATGTGTTGCAAATTATCATCCGCTATAAACACTCTGACACTTTCATTGGATTTATGTTTTCGGTTCGTGTGGACAATGGAGACACTTTACAAAAGAGCATCTGGGTTATAGGCTGAATGTGCAACATTTAAACATAAATGCAGCAGAAATCAATTATATCCTCTGAAATAACTGTTTAATTGAGGGACTAGAGAAAAGGAGAATAACATTCTGTACTCACTGCTTATTTGAATGTCATGTAAGCGTTTCTAGATCACGGTCATTTCGGGTAAATTTAAATGCTGTGTGAAGATACGAGCTAACTAAAGAGCGCTAGCATTCGCATGCTAACAAAACAATGCAGCACAAGTTGTTATGGTTTCCAGCTGGTGCTCAAGGGCAACATTTTCTGGATCAAAAAGTCTCATATTGTTCCTTTAATATGCAGGAAGAATTTCTTTTGTATTCTTCTCGTTCCTGTTGTCCACACTTCCTCGCAGCTGAGGTGCTGCTGACATTTAAAAAGACATTTACATGATTTAATGAAGTCATCAGTCGGTACATTTTATGCCCGTTTCAGAGAAAGTCCTCAGCAATCCGGGAGAGCATCGTGCAGAAATACCAGGAGATCCAGGCGGTCCTGGAGCAGGACTTGAGGCTCACCTTGGCACACCTGGAGATGGAGGAGCGGGCGGCGGTCTCAGCTCTGGACGCGCTGATGGAGAAAAACTGTTCTCTGATTCAGGAGATCGAGCAGGACCTCACCAGACTCTCTGTGGTCCTGGACCAGACCGACACTGATCCGGAGACTTTGGTGATTTAACTTAACGGAGCAGATCACATCGTGAATTTGATAAAGGATATCTTCTTCTTCTTCTTCTATGTTTTTTATAAAATCATTTCCCCCACATGTATACGTGTTCATTAATGTTAGAAAGTCTGGATATGAGATTGTTGAGGTTCTGGATTCTGCTCATGTGCTGCAGAGTGAAAAGGTCTGCCGTATGAAAACTACAAATATTATCACCTTCAACTTTTTTCTGTCTTAATCTTGTTTTTTTGTTGTTGCTGTTTTCAGTCTTTCTTCTCGTTTCCTGAGCATCACGATGTGGACACAGCAGAAAGGTACGTATTGAAATCATAAAAGATGATTAAAATATGGAGCAGCATACCAGCAGCTGACGTCTCTGTGCTCTCCATCCTGCAGGGTGCTGGATCTGTTGAACAGGACCGACCCGTGCAGCGTGAGTCTGGATGACGTCAAAGCAGAGCAAATCCTGAACCTGACTGACAACCTGCTGCTGCTCGTCCGCTCACAGACGCCGATCATCAAAAAGCTCATCAGGAGCTGTTAGTCTCATTTCTGCAGGTTTTATATCCAAAGATTCTCCTTTTACATGTTTTTGATTCAAGTTCTGTCTCCAGATTCCAGTGAGGTGAGTCTGGATCCAGAGACGGCCCACCCAAAGCTCATCATCTCCCCGCAAGGAGACAGCGCCACCTACAGTGACACCTGGCAGCAGCTTCCTGACCCGCCTGTTCGCTTCGACACCACCCTCAACGTCCTCAGCGTGCAGGGCTTCAGCTTCGGACGCCATTACTGGGAGATCGATGTGACCGGGAAGACCTACTGGGAGCTGGGGGTCACCTACCCCACCATCCCCCGTAAAGGCCCCTCTGAGGACTGCTGGCTGGGGCGCCGGGGTGAGTCCTGGTGTGTGGAGTTCTTCGATGGGGAGTACACGGCCTGGCACGGGGGGGTGCCCCATCAGCTGCCTTTCACAAACTGCATCTGCAGAGTGGGCGTTCTGTGCAGCTTCCCTGCAGGACTGGTGACATTTGTCGAGGCAGAAAACATGACGCAGCTGTTCTCCTTCTGTGCCGGAACCTTCTCAGACAGCCTCCACCTGGCCCTGTGTCCTGGCCACGACCACAATGGCACCAACGCCAATCCCATTGTTATCTGTAACGCTGCTTCACCTACCAGTGACCTCGGGTTAGAGTCTCTACAGAAAAGCTTTTAGTGTATCCAAGAGGCTTCTTTCTAATAACAATCTACCATGATCTTGAGTATCCTTGAGTCTGATTGGCTGCTGGGTTTGCGTTACTTCCTAATAATGGACTGTTTCTAAGTGAACTGTTATTTCTTCATTAATGCTCTACTACGGAGCTCCTTAAGCACGGCGTACATTACGATTGTAGAAAAGTCGTGGTAGAATGTCAGCTCACACTGTTCGACTGAATTGTTTACGACGCACCACCAAAGGTCAAGATTGTGCTCACACTGTACGACCTGACCTGACTGCACAAACTCACACTGTTCAGGGTTAATCGGGACGGAGCATTCACAAAGTCAATAAAGTTTCATTTGAAAACTCCCACTGACAAAAGTTGGAGTGAGATCTCTGTGTTGAAGTTGTCACCCTAAAACCCACCTGTTGGGGCGCCGGTAGCCTAGTGGTTGGTGCGTATGCCCCATGTATACAGCCTAGGCCTCTAAACGGGCCGTCTGGGTTCAAATGCTCTCACACTTAGCATCACCAACAACAAGCTAACAAGCAGCAAAATCATAAACAAATAAGAAGATACATTAAACGGGTACACATGCTGATGACATGTCGGGGAATCGTCCAGCAGCTCTGCTCTCACTGTGCGAGTGTGTGCAGTTGTACGACCAAAATATCAAACAACAAAGAAAATAATCCAACCTGTCAGGATCAGCTGACCTGAGCTGTGATCGGCCGCCATGCCTCAGTGTTCACTGTGCGACTAATGACGAGAAATCGGCCTGAAATTCTGTCATGATTTTAAATACGACTCAAAAGATGGGTCTTATATTGGGCTGATATCAGTGTGTGAATGGATTATTATGTACGTCACTTTGAATAAAAGCCTCTGCTAAGTGAATTGTAACATTGTAAGACATTTTCTTGTGAGCAGGAGTAAACTTCTGAAACACAACAGAAGCGTTTCTTTTTTCAGTCCATGTCCCTAAAAGAGCTCCGTACTCGAAACAGTCTGAATCTAAAACCAGAGCATTGAGGACGCAGTCAAATCCTCCTCATGCAATTTCTAAAAACTATAATCTTATTAAAACAATGAGTGAGTTGAACCTTTCCAAAGAGAGAGAGAGACTGAGAGACAAAAGCTCTTGTTAGCTCTTCAGAGCGGTCACCAATACCTGCCCTCTCTCAAGGTCAAACTCAAAAGCGTATGGTGCTGAATGATATTTATGTACAAACATGTCCATGAAGTTGTCCTGCTCTGTGAAGTTCACTTTTGATTTGTGTATGTTTGTGGAGAGAAAAATGTCCGCCCCTCCACTCTCTGCTGCTCGGATATTTATGTGAAGTCTTGACTGACGTGTCAAAAGTTTCACCGTTTATTAAAGTTAAAAACTCTCTCATGGACTCTGTTGGAGCCGCTATTAAATGATTGTTCTGCACAATGTGACTCATCAGAGTAGAAAAGGGACCATACATGTTGTTTTCATATGTATTAAAGGTCTTTGAACATGAGTATGTTTTCTGCCCTGCCTCAAACATACTGCCAGCTGCTGTTCAGGATCAGTGGCGTCGCTGAAGTTGGTGTTCTTCTTTTTAATGTGTGGCCCCAGTATCGCTCAGCATCAGTGTAAATCAGGGTGTCAGTGATCCAGATAACCTGAAAATACACCTGGAAGGGATCGGCATAATTCTGCGGCTCCTTTATCGACAGGAGAAACTCTCCTCCCTTTTTTCAGGAGTGGGTGGACCCTGTGTTGTTTATCTTTCTTACAAGGAGTGAAAAAAGCACAAAAATCCTCTTCACCGCTCAATGGTTCATCGGGGCGAGTAGATTTATTCTCATGCTAATCACGATGAGCCATCGAGTCAGACAAACCTACTGTCTCATATGGGACCCAATGATGTGTGCAGAAACCTAAACCAGATAAAAAAAATACAACCCAGCATGGTACACTGAGTCGAACTGTTCCCCAAGGATGAGTTAGCAGATATTAAAAATATCACCGTAGTCAGTTACAGAGCTTGAGATTCTTCCTTGTAAACCAGATTTTTCTATATTTGGATGCATCCAATCTTCTCATTTTCAAAGTATCTGAACACCAACTTTAACTGTTGACATAAACCTGGACTCATTATTTGAGTCTTGTTGTCATTACGTACGGGTCTTAAAGTACAAAGATTCCTCTGAGCAACAGTAAACACAGTTTGTAGGTCATTGTCTGCAGTCACTAAGGAGGAAACGAAGAAGTGTATGCGACTGTATCATCCGCATAAAATAATAAATGTAATAGGACCCGATATTGACCCTTGTGGGACGCCATAGTGTTTATTTCAAAGCTTCATATCATTCCAGCATGCTTTGGCTCCTGGCTGATGTTGTATGTGTAAAAGAGACCAAAAGAGCACACAGAGATGTATCCTCATGTGTACCCACTCTGTGTGAATCCAAAGTCTACATCCAAACAAACATGCTACTTTGCAAACATGATCTCTGAGCTGTTGTGCTGCTTCGCTTTTTTTTATACCAAACTTCTTTAAATAATTCATTAATTAATTTATTTTCTGCAGAGACAGTGAACTTGATTTTGCGACTTTTATCTGCTCATTTCAAGTCTTGCAGGATGATCTGAGTTCTGCATGTTAGTCCTGAATAAAAAGAGGAGTTAAATTAGAGTCAATAACTCTGAGTCAGCAGCAGGGAAGGATGCCAGACACCCACACTGAACCAAAGGTTGGTGTCCTTACACAAATGTTTAGAAGAGTGTGAGTGATCTGACAGACTGCACACTTGTCTCTGTACTCTGCTGGACGTCTTCTGATCGGCTGCTGCCATGAAGCTGAAGTTCTGCTTCTTGTTCGTCCTCTTTGCGGTGCTCCTCATACCGGCTGAGGTAAGTATTCACTGTGGATGTCATGCGATAAACTTGAATTCTTTATAGCAATGTTGAAAAGTTTGATGATGCGTTTGGTGGCAGACGAGCTTGTTGTCCATGTTTACGATTTTCTGTGATTCAATGAAATGCAACAACACATTATGACTCTAATGGGGTCAAATATAATTCAGCTGAAACATAAAAAGCACAAGAAACATCGCCATGATCACGACCACCAGGATCATGAGCATAATGGTCACGGCAAAAAGAAAAACACTTTTAAGGACATAATTAACGGTAAGTGCATCTTGGTTTGACCTTTGAGTATTTCAAATTTTTTAATTTAAAATGTATCATCCTTTAAGTGCAAACATTTGAGAGTGTCAGCGTGATAAACCTGAAGAATGTCCAGGTTTCATGATGGAAGAGAGGAAGACAACAGAGCTAACAAAAGATGAAAATGTTTCAGACATCTTCTTTTCGGCCGTTGATGGAGCTTCCGATGACGATGAGGAGGATGATGACGACTCAAGTGACTGGCTTTATGAACTTCAGGAGCCAGAAGGTGAGAGAGGCGTTACCCACAGACTCTGTCGAAGTGTTCAGACCACATCACTGCGACGCCACGTTTCTGAAAGACTTTTAACTCATCTTGTTTTCCATCTTCTCAGGTGTGTGCAATCCAAACCCGTGTCACCATGACGGAGTGTGTGAGCAGAAAGGAAAGAGAAAGTTCAAATGTGATTGCCCGAGACCTTTCAAGGGGAAGAAATGCCAGAAAGGTGTGAAGAGAATCCCTGTATAGTAAAACTGATGGGCTGGAGACTCAAAATGTAAATGTTATCTTCTATGTTGTCATCTCAGGTCCAAAATTTTGCCGTAGAGGGAGGTGTGGGCATGGAGAGTGCGTGCTGACCTCGGCCCCTCCGTTTTACGAGTGTAAATGCAAAGCGCCTTTTCAGCCCCCGAACTGCAGAACATGTAAGGACGATATATTTTTCCAAATAAGACACACCCACTCTTTCCCTCAAGTGTCCTTCTTGACCTGCTGATTGTTTCTGTCCAAAGATTCCCTGTGTGAGCCCAACCCATGCGGGAACGGAGGGACATGCGTCACAGAGGGAAAGGACTTCGACTGCCAGTGTCCGCAAGGCTACAGAGGACGATTCTGCCATGTCGGTAAATTCTGCACCGGACATTTAAGTCCATTATGTTTCCATCAACCCAAGTTCTGTTCAGGATCAGCAGCTGAACAAAGTGCTGCACAAAGGAAACCAAACAGAAAAGCCAAAATAAGGTTGTTAAACATTTAAAAAAATTGATACTTTTTGATACCACATGCTCTAAAACGATCTCTTTTATTTTAATGGTCGTTTTTATCCAAAAGTACATCTGGTAGAGTCGGTCGTCTCTCAACTGGAATGTCCGGGGTTCGATCCCCAGCTCCTGCAGCCTCATGTCCGATGTGTCCTTGGGCAAGACACTTAACCACAAGTTGCTCCCGCTGTTTCGTCCTTGGTGTGTGAATGTGTGTGAATGGATGAGTTAACTGGTGGACTCTTTACTCAGCAGCCTCTACCATCAGTGTGTGAGTGTGGAGGTGTGACCTGTGGTGTGAAAGAGCTTTGAGTCGTCACTCAGTAGAATAGAAAAGAACTAAACAAGTTGCAGTCCGTTTACAGTGTACATCTATTTTGAAAGACATTGAGGTTGAAGAAGGAATTAAACTCTTAAAAGTTGCAGTCAAACTCCTGAAAGACTAAACCGAACGAAAGCACATTTTTGACTTTTGATGACATAAAAATACTGAACAATGAACGCTGTTTATTTAACCACACAGTGTATGTAAAGACGGGACTAAGAACAACAGTAACACTGACATGTTTCTGTGTGAAGCAGTGATCAGAGTGGGAGAAAAGTCATGCCTCAAACATATCGGCATTCAATAGTTTGCTTCAGAGGGCGCTGTGGAGTTGTGTTTTAAGTCTGGGTGTCATCCTCGAGAACACACTTTCAGTCCAAGCTCACATCAATAATGTCCCCCGGTCTGCATATTTACATCCATGCTACATTAATTGCCTCCGCCCGCCCTTCACACCTAACAGTACCGCCATGCTTGTTCACACCCTGGTTACCTCTGGCCTTGATCGCTGCAGCTAATTTCTCTTTGGTCCCTCTCAAGTCCATCCACAAACCGTGTCACTGCCCTCCATTGACCACATCACTTTGAGGTCTCTGCTTTGTAAGGTGACCTCGGGTGTTTTGGGAAGCGTCTTTAAATCAAACTAATTATTATCATCATGTCTGAGTGTGTGTTATGCGTCTCAGGCCCTGACGACTGCTATGTGGACGACGGAGAGTCTTATCGGGGGAAAGTGAGCGAGACAGACGACGGCGACGAATGTCTCTACTGGAACTCTCACTTCATCCTCGCCAATGGAGTTGACCCCTTCAAATCCTTCGAGGACAAAGACGGACTCGGCCCTCACAACTTCTGCAGGTCAGGAGATAAAAAAAAAACAAACCCTGCATTCAGATAACATCTACAAGATGATGCTGAATCAGACGCTGTATCTGATACAGGAACCCGGATGGCGAGAGGATGCCCTGGTGCTTCTTCAGACGAGGACGCCGCCTGCTGTGGGACTACTGTGACGTGGTCGAGTGTCCTGATCCAACAGGTGAGCAGTGAAAGCCAGAAAAGTGCGTACAGTGCATCGTTTAATTCTTTACTTATTGTGTAATTCAAACTGCAAAAGGGTTCAGATTTTGTTTTGTCTCTTTGGAAATCTAACCTGGTGAGTTATTCAGACACCTGCAAAAACTCAGATCTCAACAAATAATTTCTAGTCACAGATATCTCTTTACGGGAGCGCTGATGGCTTAGTGGTTGGTGCATGTGCCCAATGTGCGGAGACCGTGGTCCTTCAGGTGGGTGGCCCGAGTTCAGATCTGACCTTAGGCTTCTGTCCCTCTTGGTCTTGACTTGGACTTGATCCATAACTGTCTTGTTCTTGGCTCAGCCTTGTCTTGGTCTCCATCTTCCCTAGGTCTTGGTATGGTCTCAGTCTTGGTTACTGTGGTCTTTACTCAGTTTTGATTCATAAATGTCTTGGTTGTGTTCTCGGTCTTGTCCTAATCTCGGTCTTGGTATTGTCTTGGTCTCGGTTAGTGTTGTCTTTACTCTTGACTCGAATCTTAAATGTCTTGGACTGGTCTCGGTCTTGCCTCGGCCTGGGTCTTGTCTGTTAATCTTGATCAGGTTCAAATCTTCTCCTTCTACAGCATCACTCTCATTTTCTTATTCTGTCTTTTCTTTGTTTTCAGGTGTAACACCCACTGACGTCCCCCCTACCTCTTCCAGACCCACAGATCCACAGCCTCAACCCACAAAACCTCAACCCGCAAACCCTCAACCCACAAACCCTCAACCCACAAGTGACGCCAAACCAACAACCACCCTGCCCCCGACTACCCAGAACCCCAGCGAGGCTCCGTCCACTTTTCCTGCACCAACCACTCCTCTGATCCCCAGCACCCCTGCATCCCCTCAGCAGTTCACCACCTGTGGGAAACCTCAGCCGAAGAAAGCCATCACCAGGATCTTTGGGGGTCTGAAGGTGGCTCCAGGTGCGATCCCCTGGCAGGTGTCCGTGCAGGTGAGACCGAAGAACTCCAAACAGGAGTTCCAACACTTGTGTGGAGGAGTTCTCATCGAGAGCTGCTGGGTGCTGACGGCCGGGCACTGCATGTAAGTTGTAATTTGATGTTCCCTCCTATTGGATGCTCCAAGGTGTTTGTTTTAACTTCCGCACCAACAGCAAGCGAGACATTGCGCTCACACCAACACAGACAATGAGACCACATCCTTTCTGAAAGACCCTTTACACGTTCAAATAAGAAACGTAAATGAAAGACAAAAAAAAATTGAAACATTGATATAAGAACTGGTAGTTGTTTAAATTCTCATTCTTTAATACAGTATCGGCACTGATCGTCTACCTTCAAAAAAATAGTTTAGGGGCGGCGGTTAGCCTAGCAGTCACATTGCACCACCCATGTACCCCCCCCCCCAACATTTCCTGTCTCTCATCAGCTGTATAATCAAGTGATGAAGGTTTGTGTCACTGAGATTCCTGTGGGGGCTGAATCAGATGTTTTCACTCTTCTAACAATGGTCGTGTTTCCAGAGGTGTTGATGTTGCATGCTGCTTGTGTTTGCACAGAGAGTTGAGGAAGGACATGCAGGTGTTGATGGGGACTCTGTCTCTGGACACTGAGGAACCTTCAGAACAAACTGTGAATGTCGAGGAGGCGATCCGTCACGAGAACTACAGAGAGACTTCATCAGCTGTTTACAACGACATTGGTGACACATCTCTCTTCTCTCTCTCTCTTCACTCTCTCATGTTTAGTCCCACCTCTATCTAAATCTAAGGGCGGGGCTGCACGAGGGAGCAGTGGTTAACACTGTTGAGGTTCCTGGTCTGAATCCCCGTCTGACAGGAGCCTCTCTGTGTGGAGTTTGCATGTTCTCCTTGTGCATGTGTGGGTTCTCTCCAGGTACTCCGGCTTCCTCCCACAGTCCAAAGACATGCTCGTTAGGTTAACTGCTGACTCTAAATTGTCCGTAGGTGTGAATGTGAGTGTAGCTGGTTGGTCTTTGGACTGTGGGAGGAAGCCGGAGTACCCGGAGAGAACCCACACATGCACGGGGAGAACATGCAAACTCCACACAGAGAGGCTCCTGTCAGACAGGGATTCAAACCAGGAACCTCCTCGCTGTGAGGGGACAGCACTAACCCTCCCCATGACAATCTGTCTCAGAATAAGATTTGGTGTCTTTTGATATTATCGATTATAATGGAGTCATTTTTAAGAAGAGCTATTGATGGCGTATCGGACATTTTGACAAGTGTAAACATGAAGAATTGAACATTTTGAATGTGTGACTTTTTTGTTGAAACTGTTGTTTAAAGCGTTGTTGAGGCTGAGCGGGGCTAACGGAGTTTGTGCCAATGAGACTCAGTTTGTGAAGGCAGCGTGTCTGCCTGACGCCCTGCTGCCTGATGGGATGGAGTGTACCATTTCTGGATGGGGGGCCACAGAGACATGTAAGACCACTTCTATAAAGTCGTCATTTCATTCACATATCTGAGCTGGGTCACATGCACGCTGAGCAGGATTTTCATCACTTCATCTAATTTGACTTGCAGCTAATTATGGATCCAACCACCTGTTAGAGGCCGACGTGCTGCTGATAAACCAGGACAAATGCAATGAACGTGCTGTTTACAACCGGGTTCTGGATGATTCTATGTTCTGTGCCGGTCACCTGCAGGGAGGCGTGGATTCCTGCCAGGTGAGTCCAGGAAATGTGACCGTTAAAACAATATAATGTAGGAATTCAGGTTGGTGCTCCTCGGCGCCCACTGAAGGACTTTTAGTGCAATTACACCGTAATAAAACAAAGTGAATAAACACAACCAGCTTGACGTCGGACGTGCAGCCTTCTGTTTCATGAAGCTCTGTCCAACGTGTAAAAGTGCGTCCAATATTTCCTCTAGATCAGCATCTATCTATCTCTCTCTCTCTCTCTTTCTCTCTCTCTCTCTCTCTCTCTCCTCCGCCCTCTCCCTCTCCCTTCCTCTCTCCCTCCCTCCCTCCCTCTCTCTCTCTCAGTCGTTGTATCAAACAGTACAGAGACGGGCTAACTGTCTGCTTTGTATCTAAAGGCTGCTGTGTGAACTGTAAAGACGTATGCGCTTCTCACCAGATGACCTCGGCCCGCTGACAAAGTTACATAGTGCTGAAAACAGGCGAGCGGGGCGCTCTGTGGACATGAGAGAGACGCCATTCTCCCTGCTGGAGGTTATTGTTCTATTAGATCGACTGTTTGAAGGTTGAAAAGTGACAGATTGTTGCTCTAAGTTTAGGTTATCACTCCAAAGTTTAGGTTATCACTCCAAATATCAGCAGGTCGACTTACCTGAGGTAAAGTGTGTGCAGCAGCGGCGGCGTCCTGTGTGCAGCGTTATCAGCATCTGAAGCGTGTCTCGTGTGTTTCAGGGTGACTCCGGAGGACCTCTGACCTGCAATCAGAACAACACTCACTCTGTTTACGGTCTGGTGAGTTGGGGGGATCAGTGTGGACGGAAGAACAAACCCGGGGTCTACACACAAGTCACACACTTCGTGGACTGGATCAGGTCGAAGACTCAAGCAGCACCTGCATAAAAACAAACTCCGTAACCCACAGTAGGCCGACGAGCCAGTCTGTGAGGTCACATCAAGAGTTTTACAAACCTCCAAAAAATGAAGCGTTTGATCAAATTGTTGATGATTAAAAGTGTAGTTTGATCTTCACCTGTTACTCTCTGATAACCTGAAATCTTCTGTGAATCTAAATGTCAGAATGTTCTCCTCTTCTCAGAAGTTTTATTAAAACATATGACTGCCCCGAGCACATGAAGGGGAAAAGGCCTTCTGTTCTTATTTGTTGCACCAATATTTCCCAAAATTGATTAAATTATTGTTGTTCTATGATGGTTCTCACTCTCTCTTACTCTCTCTGAATCTCTTTCTCTTTCGGTGAGGATTATGACTGAAGATCTGAAGTTTAAGAAACAAAAAAATAAGATCTTTAAACCTTTGTGTGAATGAAGAGAAGGAATGCATCTAAATGGATTTCCTAAATGGAGATCCTGGAACTAAAACTCTGCTGTGCTTTCAGTGGAAACGTGACTTTAGGTTTATTTTACATTTGTAGTTGCTGCCTTTGATTCTAGATTTAAAGAACATACTTAAAGAACATGAGTACTCAGATCAGATCGTTTGAAGTCTCAGGAATATCCTGGTTGATGTTGGATGGTTTGTGGCTGGTTCCTTCGAGGGAGACACTCGAGGTTCGAAAGAAGAAGCTGACACGTGGAGACAGGATTTTAAAAAGTAAGTTTCGAAGACAGATATTACAGGATCCTTTGTCTCTTGTGCGGCGTTATCCCCGCTCATGTTATTCGACCTTCCTCTGTAGTTTCATGGCTCTGCAGGCCGCTGACATGTGATGGAGGCGTGCGTGTCCTCTGGTCTGCTGAGCTGAGGGGACGCCCACTTACACTCGGGTCATTGACTCTGTGAACCACATCCAGTCAGACCGGAGAGCTGCGGCATTAAATGATCGACTTCACTGCAGAGCAGAACGCTCTCTGTGGATGGAACTGATACCACTTACTATGATTAAATAGTTCAAAACTGCACTCACTGAAACGATCATTAGAAACATCGATGAGTCAACGTGTTGGGCTGTCTGTGTCGTTGTCTATCCCCTCCCTCTCTTTTCTCATTGGCTCTTCAGATTGGTGCTCCGCCCAGCTCTCCGGCAGAGGACGGTTCTTTGGGCTCACCTGGCTGCAGCAGTACGGATAGTGGCAGTGTGGCCGGGGCCTAGTGGGGGGTTTTCTATCGTATGTAGCTGTTGTTTGATCCTTGTTGTGTTGCTCTTACTCTCTGATGTTTGTTGTTTTGGATAAAAGTGCCTGCTGAGTGATTTGTATGTGCAGGACCGGTGTGCTGAAACCTGGTCCTCTGTTTCTCCTTCAGTGGAGGGAGTGATGCGTGGACTCAGAACTTGGTTTATTAGCTTTTTTTATTTAGTCCTTCAAGCTTCGTATCGAGAAACCATCGGCTTCTGTGTTTTTCTGTAGTAGTGTTGTAGTCAAGACCACACTACCCAAGACCAAGACGTACCCCAGACCAGAAAGCTCAGAGACTGAGTCAAGACCAAGACTAAAGCAGGGCGAGACCAAGACAGAGTAAAAATACTTTAGAGTCAGAGTGGAGACCTTTAAAAAGTGGTCTGGAGACCGGTCTTGAGACAAAGACTGATTTTGAGTACTACAACACTATTCTTTATTTTATTCTTTAAAGGGGGGGGGGGGCGTCTAGCCTAACGGTTATGTTGCACGCACCATGTACAGAGGCCATAGTCTTCATTGTGCCGGCTGTAGGTTCAAATCCGAATGTCTGATAAATGCTCCCCAAATAATACAATAAATTCTTTATTCATTACAGGAAGCTTGTTCTCTGTTGTCAATTTTGGTGCTTTTTCTTATTAAATATTTACATTTTTTGTGGTTAAACTTTCTGGTCTCCATTTTTCCTTGCAGGTTTTGTTTTTAATTGTGGTTCCCCACTCCCCTTAGGAATTCGCGGGACGAAACAGTCAACCACAGCTTTCCATAAAACATGAATAAAACTAGAAATAAATCCATAAAACACAAAAATGCAGTATTTAATTTAAGCTCTCTCTCATATAACGTGAAGCATCTTAGCTCAAACTACAGTGACGGCCGCCTGTGGAAACTTCAATCATAACTTGTATTTCCTGTCAGCTGGAGGTCCGCTGATATTTCCTGCCAATGTTTTTTCATGATCAGAGGCGTTAAACAGACATGCCTGCTGTTGCCATTGTGATTTCAGACGTTGTCTTTTAGTTTGTGCAGACACAATCAGGGGGAAAAAGTCCTGAAGTCAGGGAATCGGCTCATGGCTCTGCTCTCACTCTGTGAGCGTGTTCAGTCGTACGACCAAAACTTCAAACATGCCAGAAAATCATTGGAGCAGCTTATCGGGTTGAAACCACACCGTCATACCGACCCCTTCATGAGTCAGTGACCCCCTGGACATGCCCCTGCTCTCACCGACAGAAGATCAATGTGTTTATTTGACTGATGATTGGGCAGAGAGTTTTTAAAACATGCAATCTTTGAACCAATAGTCACTAAAGCCGGCCGTGGTTTGTCTTTAAATTTGATCTCAGAGGTCTTTGATGTAAAACAAAATGAGCGGCTGCTGGTTCAGTCCGTTCATGTCGATGCAGGGGTTCAACATGGGGAACAGAGGCTCTGTGCACTGCACACAGAAAGTGTGAAGCAGGCTCATAGAATCAGCATCATAGAACGACAGCTCCCCCTTCAGGAGGTTTGCGAGAATGCCCAGCTTCCTGACCCTCCTCCCCACTGACAGCTGCTTCTCCTGGGTGTCGTGACAGGCCAGGTACTGTCCATCTCCGTGGTAGATGCACCAGGATGTGCTGTTCAAATTCACGCTGGAAGAACTCTGACTCTGATGATCTGTTTTATCCCCTGACCCTGTGGTGACGCCGATCAGCCAGTACGGTTTCTCCTGAACGATGACCTCCCAGTAATGTCGACCAGCAGTGAAACTGTCCTGAGCCAGGACGCTGTACTGGGAGTCGTACGGCCGAGGGCTCAGAGCTTCAGGGACGGGCTGCCTCCTCCAGAACACCTGCCTCCTGTCACTTGATATCTCCAGTTTGGGATGGGCTGTGCTGCAGTCCAGCGCAGGAGAACTTAGATCTGCAAATAAAAAACCCACATTCAGCACACAAACACAGCGATAGAGGGAGTTTACTTTGGACTGAGAAAGGTCGGGTTCTGACATGACCACATTCGAGGAAAGTGTTGGGACAGAGCCACGGAGAGGTCATCCACCAGCTTCTCCACTGTCCTCATCTTCTCTGGGTCACACAGGGCTCGGTCTACTTCCTGGATCGGTGCTAAATCCAAAGGGTCGCTGCAGAATCACAAGCAGAGTGAGAAAATCTTTCTCGTCATTTTAAGCTCTGCACACGAAACAAAAACACTTAAAATAATCCCTGGACAGACTTTAACTATAACTTTATGATAACAGCTGAAATCAAAAATAAGTGACATCAACTCACCAAAGACTCTGTGCTCTGATTTGCTGTTTGAAACAAACAGGTCATGCATTACTCAAATACTGCAACAATGGAAAACTATTAAACAGCATTTATAAGAAAATCGTCAATAATCACAATAAAACATGAATCAGGAGTTTGTCTTTGTGTAACATAGCAACCCAGCCAACATAGCAACCTGCATAAAGGTTAATATCAAAGTAATGTTGAGAGTCTATGAGGCCAGATGAGTTCCCTAAGTCTTGATGCCCCCTTTTCATTTTAAACTTTTAATATTAGCACCTTTCAAAGACGGAATAAAACATGAACCACCTGCAGGAATCTGAGATGGTTTGTTTCCTGGAGGAGAGATTTGCTGGAGGCTCTCAGTCTGTCGATCTCTTTAATGTGAGCCTCCATGTTTCCCCTCTGAGCCTCCAACCACTCTGTCATGTACGTCTCTTCTGCGTCTAAAATCTGCATCATCAGACGCTCGTCTCCATCCAGGACCACACGGATCCTGCTGTACTTATCCGACACTCTCTCCCTGATTTCTGCAGCAGACTTCTAGGAAATAAAACATAATGTTAAGGCGCAAAGACGGCTGGATTTCATGAAGAAACATTTATATTTTCTGTACCACTGTTTCTGTGTACAGTGACTCCAGGTCTTTGATGGTGTGTTCTGCTTCCCCTCTCCTCTTCAGCAGCTGGCTCATGGTGCTCTCCAACATGCTCTAAACACAGAAATACAACAGACCTATAGGAGTGACAAAGAATACAGTGATAACTCAAAGAACACACATGCCACAAATGATTCACCTTGAAGTCTGCACAGGCCTCGTGCAGCTGCAGCGCCCGGTGGTTCTTGTGCGTGCCGACCAGCACACACAGGCAGCACACAGGGACTCTCTCTTCTGTGCAGAAGAGTTTGAGCTCATCGCGGTGCTCCCTGCACTTCAGAGACAGAAGATCCCCCGTCACCTCCACCACCGTGTGCTCCCTCAGAGCAGACCTCTGCTGGTGCTGCAGGGCGTGGGCCTGACACAGCGAGGCGTCACAGGTGAGACAGGTCTTGATGGCTACAGACGGAGTCTCTATGCAGTGATCACAGAGGATCGGGGAAGATGATTTGGTCGCCCTGCTCTCTCTTTCTGCTGCTGACGTCCTGTTAGAGGTAAAGTCCTTCACTCTGGTCTGAAGGCTGCTGTTCACCTGCACATAATGTTTTCAACATGTTTGATACTTAAAAGGATCCAATCACTGTTATGTTAATGATGCACAGTATCTCTGACAACAATGCAGCAGCCAGTATGTCCTCCTTCTAACTTTAGATTCTGGTCCTGAATGCTCTGGATTTGTTTGGACCAGAGAAGGTAAAGGCGGTTTTAAGGCACCCCCACACGGCCGTTTAGGACGCCCCTCGGTTTGTCAGATATGAGAGCAGTTATCAGGACAAACCAACAGGTGTTGCAGTGATGGAAGCGGGCAAGAGAAGTGGTTCAGATAGAAGTGATTGTACTCGACCTAAAAAGCCTCTGCATGTTTCTAATAAGCTCCACGAGCAGAAACGTGCTCAAACTAGGATCAATATTGGAGATGCTTTTGAAAAATGGAGAGAGGTTAGAACACAGAAAGGTTTACAGACCGATGCAGAGCTGGATAAACACTGAAGCTTCAGTGTCCACCACATGGTGACCTGTGTGAGCATCTACTCTAGAGAGGAGGGGGGCGGAGGGAGACAACTCTCTACAATGTTTAGAATTTTGGACTGCAGTACCAATTTTAACCACTAGGTGTAAGGTGTGAAATTAAAATTGCTTGTAATTCTTGATCATTTAAAGCAATAGTTCCCAAAATTGGGAAAAAGGTATCTTTATCTTTTGATTTCTACTAGAATCATATCACAGTTGAACATTTTGTCACCATGACAACCCTACCTGCAGAGGGAGGTCAGAGGAGAGGAAGATCTGACACTCTGGACAGAAGCAGGGACCCTGAGCAGACTCGTCTGTCTCCCACACAGCCTGGATGCAGGTGAGACAGAAGTCATGTCCACACGGCAGCGTCACAGGATCTGTGAAGAAGTCGGGACACTTTAGAGATTCCTCCACAGTCCCCATGGCTCGACTCTCACCTGTCGTAGCAGCTCAGGGAGCTCTGAGCCTCTGGACTCCGGCTCATGAATGTTTCACAGCCGCTCATGTGCCTCAGAGTCGGATTACTAAAGAGGAGCTGAGGTCTTCCAGCAGCGTTTCGGGCCATTGACTCTCAGGAAAACACACACAATGAAAGGACCGTTTCCAAAACACTGGATTAGATTAAATAAAAAAAACATCTAGATGTAAAAATCACGAGAAATTCAAACAAACAAATGAACATCTATACGAGATCTATATCTCACCTCACAATATTATCATGTCTCCCTCTTTACTGTTAGTATTTTTGCCGTTTCTTTTTATATTTATTATAAATAATAGCCTACATCATTTTGTGGGATCTTGACAAACCGTTACACCGCACCTGCCTCTCCATCAGCTACGCTCCTAACTAACACGTATCGTTCATCAAATCAAAACTGATGAGTCATCAAAACATTCACCCCCCGTACAGTGTGTGTCGATCGAGACATGAACTAATCAGACCTATTTGTTTTTTTGAACCAGGCTGTAAACATGTTAATCTGTGCTGTAAAAACAGGCTTTTTAGAATGGGTGTGTATGTGACTTCCTGTGCTTCTGCAGCCAGCCTCTAGTGGACACTCAAGGAAATGTAGGATTTATGGCCCGACTCCCAGATTTCACTCATAGATGATTCTCTGTTAATGCAATATTTGGCGTTTTGTAAATTGTACTTTGTGTTTTTGCAGCTGCTTGTCTCGGCTCGGTCTCCCTGGGAAAAGAGGTTCTTAATCTCAATGGGACTAACCTGGTTAAATAATATAATAAAAACAGTTTTTACAGTCTTTGGTCTTATTTACAGTCTTTTTGGCCCTAATCCTCTTCCGTAGTTTCTCTCTTACCTGTTTATCTCGTCAGAAACTCATTCAACCGGCTTTCCTGACAACACACGAGTGCAGGGCGAATGTCATCGTACGTAACACTGAACGTAAACATGTACGTATCCATATAACTTACGTAAACGACGTTCGTGACGTAGACTGACTTGCGGCTCTTCCCATCCAACGTGGGCTGTGGATGTGGCAGCGGAGCAGCGACAGTCCGGCTGAATACGTGTCTCCTCTCAGTTCTCTCAGGTGTAGCTCACGTGGTTTCTATATTTCCACTCTATCAGGTAAGAAAAGCTTTTAATACAGAATATGATTGTCGTGATTAACAGCGTTGCTAGGCAGCTAGTTAGCTCATAGTAGCTGATGCTAAGCTAGTTTGTGCTAGCCCCGGGAACGTTGTGACAGCAGCTACATGTAGCTGCAGTCTGTTAGCTTTATTTACTCACCTGCAGACTTCACAGATGTTACAGTTTGTTTGTGTAAACAACACAACAACAGCTGCATTGTGGCTAATGCTAAGCTAATCAAATATCCTTTTACTAGGTCATTAAACTTGAAGAAAGATCCAATAACAAACCTTATAAACTCATGAAGATGATGCAAGGCTCTCCAGGCAGTCACATGTGCCTGTTTTATGAATAATAGTTGTAGTTTTGTAATGATTAATGCGTGTCAGGTGTAGTATAAGTCAGTCATATAACACTTTATCTGAGAGGAGGTCATTGACCTGTCAGAGTGACCTGACCCTGCTCTGTGTTTCTACCTCACAGGAGTCCTCAGGTGTCAGTGCCATGTTTGCCAGGCTGGCCCTCTGTTCCCGCCTGCCCCCCAGAAACAGGCTGTCGTACATCCATCCAGTCTCCATCAGAACGTTTTCTCAGAACAAATGTATGTATCAACAGCTTTGTCTTAAATCAAACCCTGCTGAATGACAGCTGGGATCAGCTCCAGCCCGCGACCCCGACGGGAAAAAGCAGAATAGATAATGGTTGGATGTTTTAGTAAATACAGATGATCAGTAATAAATGCTCTTCTGTTTCTCTCTGCAGTCTCTCTCCCGCGGCCTCATGGGAAATCTTTTGTCCACCGCAGTGAGTTAAAACAGGCCAAACGTATCGTGGTGAAGTTGGGGAGTGCTGTGGTGACCCGGGGAGATGAGTGCGGGCTGGCACTGGGACGTCTGGCCTCCATAGTGGAGCAGGTAACGCCACATTAATGCTGTTTGATGTAGACAACAGAGGGTTTGTGATGATAAGGGCTGAAGGAGCCAGGTTGAGGATGCAAAACAAACACTTGAACGTTACATCCTGTGCGTGTTCTCAGGTGGCCGTGCTGCAGAATCAGGGCAGAGAGATGATGATTGTAACGAGCGGAGCCGTGGCGTTCGGGAAGCAGAGACTGAGACATGAGATCCTTCTGTCTCAGAGCGTCAGACAGGCGCTGCATTCTGGACAGAACCAGCTGAAAGAAATGGTGAAAAATCATCTCTGCAGATTTTAGAATTTATTAGAGTTATTGAGACCGTTTCCAACTTGAGTGAAATCTCTGTTTTTCAGTCAGTGCCAGTTCTGGAGGCGAGGGCGTGTGCAGCTGCAGGACAGAGCGGTCTGATGGCGTTGTATGAAGCCATGTTCACTCAGTACAGCACCTGCACTGCTCAGGTACACACTCTTCTATCTCGCTCCATAAAAAATGCAGAACGAACGATTCAAATCTGATTTTTTCGTTCTTTTCTGTCTCCAGATTCTTGTCACAAACCTGGACTTCCACGATGAGCAGAAGCGTCGTAACCTGAACAGCACGCTGCATGAGCTGCTGAGGATGAACATCGTCCCGATCATCAACACCAACGATGCCGTCGTCCCTCCCCCTGTTCCCAACAGCGACCTGCAGGGGGTGAATGTCAGTACTGTGTGAAGTGCATGCTGGGAATGCTCAATGTGATGGTGGTGTGCATGAATGAAACGCGTTGCCTTTATTAGATCGGACTGAAGAGAGACAGGAAACGTTGGGAGGAGGAGGGGGGGATGACGACAAGCAGCAAAGGGCCGAGGTCGGACTTGAACCCAGGGCCGACGCATCAAGGACTACAACCTCTGTGGGGCGCGCAGCATAACCACTACCCGATCCGGGAGCCCCTTTCATTTTTAACTTTACATATTCTCTTCTTATTCATTGATGGTACCGATACTGCTAAACTGTTATTGTACAGATTTATATGAGACTAATGTATTGAACTTGTGGCTTAATAAATGTTGTTTATGTTTCAGGTGATAAGCATCAAAGATAACGACAGCCTGGCTGCTCGGCTCGCCGTAGAGATGAAAGCTGACCTCCTCATCGCCCTCTCTGATGTGGAAGGTAAAACAAGAAGAGTTCATCGGATTCATTTTTCATGCATTAGAATTCATTTGTGCTTTAGAAAATACAATAATCCGGTGTACAAGACGCCGTGTAATACTTATTGTTTTCATTGTAAAGTTTGTGCATCTTAAACACAAACCCTGAAAAGTACGATGAAGTTTAAGCTCTTACCGCAGCCGATACCTCAGGGGAGGGGGGCGGGGCATTATGTTGTGTGTCTCCACTTCTCCTCAGGTCTCTAAAGGAAGAAGCTAATTTATAAAAAATATGCTTCACCTGTATGACTTTCAGTCTTTAACTTCTCACTTTAATGACTAATCTGTTTCTTTACCGCAAGGCCCTTTGCTCATGACTTGGTCTCCTTCTGCAGGTTTGTACGACAGCCCCCCGGGAACAGACGACGCTAAGCTCATTGACATATTTTATCCTGGAGACCAGCAGTCAGTCAAGTACGGAACGAAGTCCAGAGTCGGCATCGGAGGCATGGAAGCCAAGGTCAGCCTGACGGCCTGAGTGAAACCTCAGAGTGTAAACAGGACGCCGTCTGTTTGATGATGAGAAGCATGAAATAAAGTCTACGCTGTTGTGTGACTCAGGTGAAAGCAGCGCTGTGGGCTCTGCAGGGCGGGACGTCGGTGGTCATCGCTAGCGGCACACATCCTAAAGTCACGGGTCACGTCATCACGGACATCATGGAGGGGAAGAAAGTGGGCACCTTCTTCTCTGAAGTGAAACCTGCAGGTACACCATGCTACTACCGTCTGAGGTGAACCTTTTAAACACCTGTTGTTGTTTTTTTACTATCGATTATTTTTGACTCCACCAGGTCCGACTGTGGAGCAGCAGACGGAGATGGCTCGACATGCAGGCCGGACTCTGGCCTCCCTGCACCCTGAACAGGTGAGCTTCCTGCTCTCTCTTTGCATCCTGACACCTGAAGTAGAGGACCAAGTATTTACTCATCGGCTCAAAATGTCATGATAAGACTCGATGCACCGTATTCACTTCGCTCTCTAAGTGCAATATTAAGATTACAACAGTGGGTTTACAACTCTTGGTAAGAACTCGACAAATAAACTACATTTTAAACTCTCAAACGATGGTTCTCTGCCGGGTGGGGAGTGAGTCTTTATATCTCAGGTCTTGTTCACAGTGAGGGTACGATGGACCGTGAGATGGACAGGCTAATTGGTTCAGCGTCGGCAGTAATGCGGGTGTTGTATCAGGCTGTCATGGTGAAGAGGTAGTTGAGCCTCAAGGCAAAGCTCTCCATTTACCGGTTGATCTATGTTCCTACCCTCACCTGTGATCATGAGCTTTGGGTAGTGACCGAAAGAATAAGATCTCAGATACAAACGGCTGTAAAGACTTCCCTCTGGAGGGTGCCTGGGCTCAGTCTTAGAGAGAGGGGGAGGAGCTCAGACATTTAGAAGGAGCTAGGAGTAGAGCCGCTCCTCCTTTAAAATCTAAAGGAGCCAGCTGAGGTGGTTCAGCATCTGACTAAAGATGCCTCATGGTCGCCTTCCTTTGGAGGTTTTCCAGGCACATCCAACTGGGTGGAGACCCCGGGGTAGACCCCCAGTTCGCTGGAGGGATTACAAATCATATCCCATTTGAACTCAGATAAGCAGAGGAAAACGGATGACTGGACGGACTATCTTTCAACCAGGAAGCCATCGGATTATTTTGCAGTCAGGGTGTAAGGGGTAGCTGTAAGGGTAGTTACTTTTAGGACTCGTCAGTCTGTCAAATGTTTTTCCTAACTGAGAGATGTGTTTGTGTTTCCAGAGAGGTGAGATCATCTGCTCTCTTGCCGAGCTGCTAACAGAGAAGAAAGAAGAGATCCTCAGTGCCAACAAGAGAGACCTGGAGCTAGCTGCATCCTCAGGTACACACCCAGAAAAGACTCTGGCACATTTAGGACTCTTCAACCATCTGATGGTCAGGTTTGCATGAAGTCAGCGCTGCTCAGCATCAGATGTGCTGTCAGTAAGAAGTCAGAAACCTCAGTAAAAATATAAGATTAGCTTTAATCTCCCTGTTATGACATTTGTTGTCAACTCTGTCCTGCAGTCACATGCTGAACTTAAAATCATACCTTACATCGTGAACACTATAATCATGTAGATAGGTTTTTGCAGAAGTCGCTCTGCGCCCTGTTGTTGGGCAGAAACGCTTTGAGGTTACAGAGAAAGAGTTTGTTGTGTTTCTCAATTATTTTTGCATGTCTCCAAGGTCCAGAAAAATGCCTTAAAAGATTCAATATACAGTATGTGTAACAGAGCGTCAGACTGAGCTGGTTGAACAGTGAACTCAGTGAACGTGTGTTTCTTCTCCTCTACCAAACTGTTGTTGTCTGAAGCGAGCAGACGGCTTTCCTACAAAACTCTTCAGATGATTTCAGCAGTCCTCGTTTGTATGTTCGGCTCCGTAGCTCTAAAGAAATAGATTTTCATGTCATAAACAGCTTGTTTTGCATATTATAGTTTGAGTCCTTAATGGTCAAACTACTGTGAAGAAAAAAAACCTAAAGATTTGTAAACGATGCAGAGATCACAAAGTTCAGAATCAGTGAACATCCAGTTCCTGCTGTTGTTACAAACATGTTTTCTACCTTACAGTCTCGTTACCTCTTCAGTGTTTTAATGTTTTTATTCTGTCTCGTCTCAGGTCGTATGTCCCAGGCGATGATAAACCGCCTCAGTCTGTCGACCGCTAAGCTGAACAGCCTCGCCATCGGCCTGCGTCAGCTCGCCGTGTCCTCCAAAGACAGCGTGGGTCGGGTTCTGAGGAGGACCAGGGTGGCCAACAACCTGGAGCTGGAACAGATCACCGTCCCCATCGGAGTCCTGCTCGTCATCTTTGAGTCCCGCCCCGACTGTCTCCCACAGGTGGGTCCATCCAGACATCAATTTAAGAATCATAAAAAGTTTAATTATCTTTCTGGACACCTGGGGCCTAAAAAGTAACAAAAAGACGGTGAGAGGGTTTTAACAGTGTTGTGATAACCATGTTAGCGTGTCATCTGTTTACATGAAGCGCATCAATAAAACTGGGTGTAGTTATTCCAAGTTGTCCTGTCTTATAAACTGAGCATGCTTCATGATCACATAAAGACATGCATGTGTTGTATTACAACCTTATGTACAAGCGGTAACCATGCTCAGGCCCGGTTTGTCTTGAAACTGTGAGTGCAGACCAGAGGGGGAATGGGGAGGGAGGGCGATCGTGCTTCTTGTGGATCCTCTTCTGGATTAACGAGTTAAACTTCAAAAAGTTTAATGTGAACTTCAAACACTAAACTTAAAAAAGTAGAATTTTTTATATTCCATCACCTGGGAAGGATTCATAGAAGACGGATGCTCCTGGTCTTTAGAGGGTTCATTTGTACGTCTTTGTGTTGAAAATGACTCTTCATATTGTTCTGTT